GTTGAGACTCTCAACTCGAACCCGATACGACAACCCGATTATAATATATTAATATTTATTAATATTTATTATATGTATAAAATAATCATAATTTAATAATTTTTTCATAAATTAATTTAAACTAAGTTCAATTTTAAATAATTCAACCTAATTTACGTATGCTCAAACCAATAAAAACTAGCATAACACGACAACAAAATAAAAAATTATTTAATTTGAATCATGAAATTAGACTTAATAATGTATACGGTCAACACGAGTCAATCCGAACCCGACACGATAATAAACGGGTTAACACGAACCCGACACAATAATAAACGGATCGGGTTAGAGTTGAGTAATTTAACTCGTTTAAAGTAGTCAACCGACACGAACCCGATACGAATTGACCCATTGCCGGCTCTAATTGTAGGATAAGTAGAGAAGTAACCATAAATTTATTATTATTTGTTAAAATCAAGATAATAAAATTATAAATGTATAAAATTGGTTACTGGATAAATAAAATAAATTTAACGAACAATAAAGAAATAATAATATAATTTTTAGTTGGAGACTGAGTATGTTAAATAAATTTGTGTTTTATTTGAATAAAAGTTTTAGAATAGGTTTGTGAACATGAGTTCATGGGTTCAAATCTCGACGCTTCCAAGTCCACCTGTAACACATGGTTCGTCTAATGTGATTTGACTTGTCGGGCCTAGTTTACAGGGTATTAGGTTCGGCCGAAAATTTACCTAAGACGCATTTTCGGATAACGGCTGTGTGTTACAATGTTATAAAAATAATAATAAAAGTCAATAAAATACACAAAATATCATGTATTACTATAATACTTGCAATTTAGCATTCTGGTCGTGCTTAAGCTCTAATGGCTAATCTATTTGTTTTTATTATTTATTTAAAGCTAAATTACACAAAATCTACGCGTGGTTTCACGAAATTGAACGAAATCCATTGTACTTTTAAATTTACGTCAAACTCCCTTATGGTTTCATCAACTTTACATCTAACCCACTCGCCCTCCTTATTTAACGTTGTTTGATCTGTACCAATCAGAATCTTTATTTCTAAACCTTTAAAATTATAAATATAGTCATTATTCTTATCATTTAACACCCAAGAAACCGTAAATATATTCAAAATTAGTTATTTTTTATCTGATTTTAAAAGTTTTTTTTATTTTTCTTTAAGACTAAATATAAGATAAATGAATATATTTATAACTTTAGCAGTTTATAAATTAGTATTCTGAAATTCATTTGCAGTTTGAGCGCGTATAAGTAAAAGACTGATAAATAACTATGGCCGATGAGGTTAGACGCAGAGTTTATAAAATCACGAGAGAGTTTGACACAATTTTAAAAGTATGAAAAAATTTTTGCCCGATTTTATGAAACAAGAAATGAATTTTATGCAAATTTAGCTTTAATTAAATTACTAATTAGAACTAATTTGCACTAATATATAAAATAAAAAAATATATGCATGCATGAACAGATGGAGGTTCTGACACAACTCCCTCTTCCAAGATTAAAATATAATTTATGTATAAATATTATTCCTTCCGGTATTCAAATTTATGCTCTTTTTTTTGGGTTGTCATCGAAAAATATTCTTATTTCTTTTTTAAACAAAAAAATCATTTCATTTTTGTACTTTTTTTACTATAAAAAGAAAAATTAACAATTATTACATATTTTTATTAAAATCCGTGTCTGGTCAAATGAACACACATTTACACGACAGAATAAGTATAAAGAGCTGTAGAGTTGGTATAATGTTTAATTAATTTGATTGAGGATTGTAAAATCATCAATTTGAATCCCGTCGAAAGTTATATATAATACTCCCTCCGTCTCAAACACCGTGCAACACTTGTGTTTGGTACGAGAATTTAGGTGGAGAGTATTAAGTATGGTAATTTGAGATAATTTGGATATTAAGTAATGTGATTAGAGAAAGAAATGATTATTTGTTTTTTTTATTTTAGTGATGTGATGGGACAAAGTGAAGTGTATATTAATATATGTATACAAATATTATTAATTATTTTTAAATTTGGAAATGTTGCAGTGAGTTTAAGACAAACAAAAAAGAAAATATTGCAGGGTGTTTGGGACGGAGAATCCTTAGACCAAAAAATTTACCTCGAAAAAATATCAATTGTAAATTACCACTACTAAACTTCCATATTATAAAATATGTATGGAAAAATTAAAAGTAAAGATTATATATATATATATATTAATTAATATATGTAGGCGTGGGGTTAAAGGCTGGCAAACTAATAAATGAAATTAAAGTCCCACATAACATAACCCTAAAAGGAATCAATTTTGTATCCACCATAAACCTCAAACTCAATTTATTTATTCTTCCCACTGTACACATTCATACATACATTAAATAATTAATTAAATGGTTGAGTCGATTATTCAAATTTTGTAACGATATTATTATTCAATCTGAATGTACTCCAAGTCTTTCAAATTTTGTCTTAGTTTTTTGTAATTTTATTAGGGTCTCGACTTTTTTTTAATTGCAATTGTCTGCTACATTTCTCCAAAGTTACGTTTCCGACTGTATTGAGAGTCTTATTTTCGATTCCAATGAAAATTTGTTGTTTTTTATTTTTATATTCCGATGAATAATTATGGTTAGTCAAACACATATTTATATTATATCAAATAATTATTACAGTATAAAATCCAAAATCAATCTTCCAAATCTACAATTTAACACACCATGAGCGATTATCACATTATTAAAAATAATAATAATAATAAAATAATTCAGGAGAACAATTGTGGCAGTCGAAAAAGAGATTTTATCTGCTCAATGTTTTTTTTTTTTTTTTCAATAAAGTTTAAATAATAATATATATATATAAATAATAAATAAAAAGATATTTATAAAGATGCTGTTTTTATCTTGTTTTGCCAGCTTCCATTCTCTTTCTATTCCTCTTTAATAATTACTACATGCATTTCAAACTCCCATGAAAGATTCTCTTTCTTTCCACTTGCTACTTTTATTTTAAATTTTGCCCTTTTTCATACTACCACAATAAATTAATAATTTAAATAAAAATAATGTTGTGTTGTGTGAACAAAAGACACACGAGATAATTGGATGCAACAAAATTAATTGGGGTGAAAACATTGGGTAAATTATAATTTTGAATTTTCCCTAAGTAAAGATTTGTCCAAATGGGCTTTAATAATTAAGATAGATGAATAGTAATAAAGTAATTTGGGCCAGCATCAAAATATTAGCCTAGTTTAAATAAATGTTATTAGGGTTTTAAACATTTTGAAAAGATATAAAATTAGGTATTTAATTTGATATTTTGTACCAGACTCCGATATTTTATGTAATAAAAAATTATTGTTGATAAATAATATCGTAATTTTCAAAAGTATGTGTATATATACCTTAGAATTTTAAGCTCCGTTTAAATAGAAGATTTTAAAGTAAAAAAAAATATATATATATAAAAATTTAAGTATTTGATATAATACTTTATAAAAAAAATAAATATTTTTAAATATATTGTTAGTAATAGTTTTAACACAAGTTTCAAAATTGTGTAAACAAATCTTAGTTTAAAAAAAAAAATAAATCTTTAGATCTATATTCAATAGTTAAATACATGTAACACAAGAGTGGGTTTGTTTATAATTTTAAATTTTTTTATTGTAAAATATGATGTACGAGAAATTGTGAAAATATTACAAAAAATAAAATAAATAATATTTTATATGGTTTTATATATATTTTTTGTACAAGTTTATTTTTCTGTTTTTTTTATTTTTTATTTTTTATAATTAAGATAGAATTAATTAAGAATGTTTGTTAGAAATCTCAGTCTCACCTACAACACTCTTTCAAGCAATCTTCTTGCTTTCACCTCAAGCAAACGTTGGAATAACTACCTATTTTAAACATTATTATTATTATTATTATTATTATTAGAAATGTGTATATATAAACAGCCTTTGTTTTGTGACCTTTTAAAATTTTTAACATTATTATTATTACATATGTCAGATATGAAATCATCATATTATTTAAACAATATAATACCTAGGAACAATAACTATAAAAAATTAAAGAAAATAATTCAATTTTAGTAGAAATACACAAGTTTTGGTTTTAGAGATATGTTTTTATTGTCAATTATCTTCTAAGTTAATATAACAAAAATATTATATCACATAAATAAATAAATAAATAAATATATGAAATACAGTAACTTACATAACAAATATATAACTATAAAAAATTAAATAATAGAATTGATATTTTTTTTGCAATTGCTATAATTGCGAAATAATTTTGAAAAATAAAAAGAAAAATAAAAATAGCTGAAGTAATTATTATAGCGGCAATAATGATTTATTGCATCAGCAGGAACATTAAAAGTGTAATAGAAACAAAAGCTGCCTAATATCAACCAAATCAATTAATTTTGACGACACACACCAAATTAAATAAATAAATAAATTTAAATATCTATAATGGATCATCATTGTCAAACATTCATAAATATACTCAAGTGTTGGGATCTTTTCATTGGATTTCATTTTTAGAAAGCAACTCATAAATAATCTTATTTTTATTTTAAAATAATATAACCACTTTACTTATTAGAAAAATATAATCGAAATTATTAAATGCAATATTTTCAATAAATAAATTTAATAAAAATGACTTTTGATGGGATCAACTCTAATTATTCTCTTTTACTATTTAGAAATGGCAGTAAAGTAATTTCGCGAATAATCCGACCCTTGCCACTATACATATTCTTCTTCCCCAAACTGCCCTTACCGTCGCGCTGCCCACGTGGCGCATCTGAGGGCATTATCGTAACTTCGTACATCCATATCAATTTCTTCCTCCTGTAAATAAAATTAATTGTGCGATCAGCCCGCATTTATTATCGAACGCATGTATTCGCCATTCCATTATGTTTCCGACTGTATATACATATACATATAAATATATATATATATATGTATGTCGATGTTTCTTTGTTTTTTATAGAGAGAGAGAGAGAGAACAGTGAGGAGAGAGAGAGGGGGGTCTGAAGTCTGGAAGGGGGTCTCTGATAGAAGTCAAGAAATAATGGCGACGGGATGGATGAAATCATTGCAGTGCAAGTCAAGAGCATTCGACGACGTCGTATCCGCCGCCGCCGGAGGAGGAGGAGGACGCCGCCACGGCCGCCGCGCGCTGTCGAACTCCGGTAGCTGTAAGAACAGCGACATTGTCGAATCGACCAAACCTAAGAAACAGAAAACGCCCAATACGGCGCCATTTCGCCGGACCGAATCCGGGCCGGCGGTCTGGACCGGATCCGGACCGTTCTCGCCGGCGCTGGCGGAGCTGCCGCGCGGCCACCCGTCGCGGAATGTGGTGGAGATTATTTTCCACACTAGCTGGGGAGAGAAGAGCTTTTCCGGCGACGTCGAGATGGTGTTTAAGGTCCAGAACCTGAACCGGACCGTCGCCCGGTTCGAGGAGTACCGGGAAATGGTAAAATCGAGGGCGACCGCCGCCGCCGACGCTAGCGGCGGAGGCGGCGGCGAGGACCAGGCGCGGTGCGTCGCCGACGGCAACGAGGTCATGAGGTTCTACTGCCTTGGCGCGACGGCGTCCGGCGGCGCGTACGAGGCCGGCTGCAGCGCGTGGGCGGTTTACGGCGGGAAAGGCGCGGTTTTGTGTACGTATTCTGGCAGCGGTTCGGCTCACGAGAAAGCCGGCGGCGGGAGCGGTCGGCGGGCCATGCTTGTCTGCCGGGTCATCGCCGGTCGGGTCTGCAAGCAACTCGGGTTCAACTCGGTGTTGGATCGCCGGGTCGGGTCGTGTGACTCAGTGAGTAAAGACAACGGCGAGTTGCTGGTGTTTGATACACGCGCCTTATTACCATGCTTCCTTATCATCTACAACAATAACAGCAACAAATTGTAAAAAATTTAAATATTTAAAAAAAAAAAAAAAAGCTTTTTGTACAATTTAATTACGTATCTAATTTTGTGTGTCATTCTTAATTGCTGATAGCCATTTAATTTTTTGTAATTATAAATATATATATATTATATAATACATATTGTCTATTCGATCAAATTAATTAACCATACTCAAATTAGTCAATATTGTTCAATAACTATCTTATACTCTTTTCGATATTTTAATTATTGTGTGGAAACTTATGTACTTTAGTAGCTGCATTTTGAAAAAAAAAAAAAGTGAAAATAATTATATGTAATTGATGCATTAGGTATATATATTTAATTATTAATAATTGACTTTAATGTAAAGCAACAAATTACTCAACTATGTGACGGTAAAATCTTGTATAGTGTAATTTGTCTTGTCGAATTTTTTATTATTATTTTTCTAAGTTTTTCTTTATTGTAAGTACCCATAAAGTAGTTCGATCAATCGAGCAGTGAAATTTAGATTATTAAAAAAGAAAAAATATATATATATATATATAAGGTAAGGTAAGGTTATTGTCATGAAATAGACATATCTTCTTACACTAACATGTGATTTTGGTAATGGTACAAAGAGTATAGATTTGGCCACATTTCATCATCAACATCAACCCTCCAATCTAATAATATTTCATTTGTTCTTTATGTACATCCAATTCTTTCTACTATTGGATTTCTCTTTTTCTCTTTTGATTGAGAGGTTTTATTTCGATTTTGATTATTCATTAATTATAACAATATATATTTATATCATATCATACAATTATTAAAATTCAAATTTCTAATTATTCAAAATACAAACTCAAAATCCAAACACACATTGTTCAAATCATGTGTCACAATACTTAATACTTGATTCATCATGTTTAATATGTGATTTGTCATGTTTATATATATATATATATATATATATATACTTTTAGTTCAATACTTTTTATAGCTCTAAACAACAAAATTATGAGTTAAATTCATATAATTGAACTCCAAGATATCAATTATAACTTACTATAATTCGTAAGTGTTGAAAGTACAAATTTAAAAAATGCTAAACTTATAATTGTTATTCAACAAATTCAATTTCGATTGGCATATATTTTCATATTGTAAATTTCAATTTAACGATAATGACAAAATGATTGTACAATCAAATTTGACGGACGCAAATATATATATATATATATTATATAATGTCAATTTTATAAAGCCATGCATGATCATATATATCCTAACTTAACAAGTTGGATGTTGATTTTGATATAATATATAGTTGGTATATATATTTACATATGTCATTAGGACAACTTAAACTAAACTAATTAATTCTGACAAGATTAGGACCAGATAATGACCATACAACTGAACAAGTGTTTGGTAGTCATAACCCCTAAAGAAAAAACAATATAATTGTGTTTACTCAGGTTTTTGTTTTCGTTTTTATTTTTTTATTTTTTATATTGAATAGTAATTTGAACATGTTACGGAAATTCCGAGAAATCAAGATGAGATAAACAAAGATAAAAAATCACAAGAATTTGGTAACCCAATTCGATCACGATGATCTATGTTTGGGGGCGCTGCCAAGCCATAAATTTTACTATAACTTACGCAAACACATGTTAAAGTGAGAATACACGAATACAATATAAGCCTATGTCAATAATATTCAAATCATATATCTAAATCATATAACTAGATTTTAAAATATAATCAGGCTCCATATCCGAACAGAATGTTATATTTGTTATATATATATATATATGTTGGCTCAAGAATCGGTCAAACACTTAAGTAGCAAGAACAGTTCACTTAAAAAATCAATATAGAAAAATTTTTCAACATAAATTTATTATTTTATTAGACTCAAGTCAAATTGAGTTATGTCTATCCATTTGATCAAATGATCCGCAAACAACATTAATCAAACTGTTTTTTTTTTCCTTAATTTTGAACTAGAACAATGAATAGATCGTAGCTAAATTGGATTTGTCATGGTTATATTTTGATTTTACATTTTATGAAATTCAAAATAGTCCATTTTCCATTAAAGCAAGTGATTTATTAATTTTAAAAACAACACTCTTTTGAAGTTCATTTTTTTTTTTAGTAATAATGTGAAATAATTGTAAAATAAAAAAAATTAAAATCAAATTCCTAATGGAAAGTGCCATAATTTTAAATTCTAACAAACCATTGAAACCACGTAGAAAAAGTGTAGATAAATCCTTGAAAGTCATTTGGTGAAACAAGAAAATAAGCTAATAATTATATTTAGGGCGGAAAGGTGGATGATGACATGCCAAACTCCACCTCACTGTAATACTCTTATTTAATTTTTTTGGTATAAATTTTAATATATGGATAAGTGTTGCACCGATATAATTTCGAACACTTATTCAAGGGTCAACTCTCGAAGTGTAGTTATATCACAATTATAACGACGACTTGTCAATAAAATAAATGCAGAGATCAAAGCAATAAATGACAAGTTATTTGTTTATCCGGTTCGGATATAAACAATCCTACATCCGGAGGATACCAATCCAGGAGAGGTTCATTAATTAGTGTTGATTAAGAACAAAAACACCCAAAACTCCTTCAACTCAAACTACAAGATGATTATCTAGAAAATTCCCTCCACAGGCATACGTTGTCACAAGCGCGTACTGACAACTAACAAATAGCTAGGCTGCTCAGATTCCAAATGTTCTGCTGATCAGAACTCCAATTTTTCTTCGACCGACGAACTCTCAGGCGAAATAGTAGTGTATATCACTTACTCAATGCATGGAGATAAAAAAGGCTGAGGTTGAAAAGATTGTAACAATTTTTCTCTCACTACACTCTCTCAAAAACACTACACTCCCTCCATCCCTTCTCGAGCTGTGTAAGGCAACTACATCAGGCATGTTGCAGACATACGATAAATTCCTTTGATTCAAATAAGGAATGATGTGTATCTATTCACTTCTGACCACAAAAAATAAACTCAAAGTGTTCATTTTGTCTTGAGAAACCACTGTTCCTAAAAAAGACAATAAAAGACAATTTGAAAAGACAGCACAACTGAGTTTCCATAGCTGGGTCAAAGCTTGCTGTTTCAACCGTAAAAAGAAGATTTGTCAATATGCTAAAAATAGATGATGGAGTTTTTCAACTTAACAATATTTATTTTTTAATTTTATTTTTATAGTAAACATATATAGGTATATATAAAAAGTATTACTTCCTTAGTCCCTTAAATAAGTCAGAGATAAAATTATAAGTTTGGTTTGACACACCAACTTAAAAAATAATCATATTTTAATATTAAAGTGAAATAGGTAAAAAAATAAAGTGAATGTATTATAAGAAATTTATTTAATAATTGATAAAAAAAAATAGTGAAGTAAGTAAGTAAAAAAAAATGTAGCAAATTTATTTTTATTTAATTTATTAAAGTAAGAATAATATTGTGAGTCGATAAAGTTGTTCATTATAAATGAATTGTGTATAAATTTATTGAACGACAAAAAAAAAATGACTATTTATATAATTTTTACGGACAAATAGAATTTTCATTTTCATTTTTAATAACTATATTATCTATCTAAAAATTAAAATTATTCTTACGATATACAATGTCAATTAGTATTTAAAAACTACATATGAAAAGTAATTGAATGTTTTTTTTTTTAAGTGATGAAAGAATTATGAATTTTTTATTAAAAATGAGAATTTCTTTACTGAAAAAATATATATTTAAATGATATGAGAGTAAAAATAAAAAAAAAAAAAGCAAAATTAAGGACCATACAAATTATGAATGATGTATTTACATACTATTAGAAATTCAAATACCACTATTTATCATTGTTAATTTTTTTAAAAATATTATATTAAATATATATAGTTATTCTTATAAAATTTTAAATCAAATATTTTATTTTATTATTTTAAAATTTTTCTAATTCTTTTTTTTTTTTTTTTAAATCTCATTGGCCTTGAGTCGATTTCAAATAAAATTGTGTATATTTATTGACCCTATGTATATAGGAAAGTGGATTTCAGATTTAGACAAGTGAGTGAGCGAGAGGGATATGGGGCCTCCCCTATAAAGCCTATTTTATTACATTTAAGAATTAAGACCGCATTATTATTATTATTATTATTAATTTTTTTTATAATAATTATTATTCAAGTATCACGATTCATTATAAATTGATTCTTTGTCAGTCTCACATATTATTTCACAATTTTATATTTCATGTTATTTTTCAAAAATAATTATATACTTTAATTAAATTTTAAATTTTATAATTTATAATTTTTAAAATTTTTTAATTAAACTAATAAATTATTTTAATATGAAATAGTTTTACTTTGAATAATATGATGGATGATATTATTTTATGCACCCTAATTACATATTTAACATAATGGATAAAAGTCCAATATTGATTAAAGTTTCTTACACTAATATATTAATTAAAAATAATTAATCCTACGTAGATGAGTAGGTTATTAAGTTCGGGTCGGGAGTTTATCCAGTGCGCACTTTCGGTAGCAGCTGCTGGTTCTTATGTCATAAAAATAATAATAATAATAATAATTAATCCTATTTAGATGAGTAGGATTAAGTTATCCAAATAGTATTTATACTTAAGTCTATATTATCTTATATTTAATTAAACAAAGTAAATATCATACTACTTTCGTTATCCTCGTTTACTTTTTTTTTTTTGCGTGTTGATCTTCAAATATTAATTATGATACCAAAATGCAGTACAAATTAAAAAAAAAATACAAAGTACTTCTATTAGTGTTTTATAATACTAATAGAAGGACATTTGTACAAAAAAAATTATAAGCAATAACGCAAATGTTAAATGTGATCTTAGAGACAGACGGATGAAATATTAATTAATTATTTAATCTATAGGAATAATATAAGTATTAGATTCAATCATTCAAAGTAAACACACCCTTAATATATAATTATTTGTATTATATTTAATTTTATTTTATTAATATATTCTTAATTATTTATTTATTATATTTCTCCTTAATTTTTCTGTCTACCTTAATTATGACATTATATATATCTAAGAAATGACAACGACGAAAATTTTTTCAGTATTTTTTAATCATCGTACTTAGATATTGTGAAATAATTAGCGTAGATGGAGATAATACAATTTTAAATTTCAATATAGTTATTTATTAGTCGAATATGCCTCTCAAAATGTTTAAGGATTTCTTTCTTTTTTGGATCTCTACATTGGAATATCAAAATATAATACATTTATATTAAATCTAACTATATTAATTTTTAAGTGTACGTGTTCTTTCGTTTCGTGTGTGTATATTTATATTTTTTAAAAATATCCACTCCGTCCTGCGTTAATAATTTTTCTTTTAAACCAAAGAGTAATGACAAAATTATTTTTATATTATTTTTAAATATATATTACAATTAAAATAATATTATTATTTCTCAGACTTTGCGTAAAAAATAAACAGGAAGGAGTAACTACTAAAACAAAATAATAATAATAATAATAATAATAATAATAAAAGTATGAAAAAAAAATGTTATAATTAAGTTTGTTCTTTTATCATTTCAAACAAAAATCAAAATTATTAGCTCAATACAGTTTTATTACTTCAAAAATAACATCACTTCGAAAATAATATTTTAAAAAATATTAAACTAATATTTTATTTCAAATTAATTTTAAATCGATGAATTAGTGATGCATTCATTTTCAGACATAGCCTTCGTTATCGGACAAAAAAAACTTCAACCAACAGACGTCCAAGACTGCCACCGGCGACGATGAATCATGTGTTTGACATTCGGAAAAATCTATATAAATATTTATCATCATTTATTATGGATATTAATATAATTGTATTTCGAATATATACATTAATTACAATTGTTGACAATTTTGATTTTGTGACCTTACCCGACGTTGGAATTTAATACGATTAACTATTGACATTAAATCTCAATAGGACAAATTTTCAATATATTATTATTTTTAGATAAATATGTAAAATAATACTTTATTCATTATGTCAAATCGGTACGATGCTGATTTAATTGAGTCGAATTATAATATAATATGTATTGTATTATAAATATGCTGAATATGAGTAAATATATGCATGTACATTCAAGAAACAAATAATAATAATAATAATAATACTTTTGCTATTTTATTTAAAATATGTCACTAAAAAACATACTCTTTATAATATGATCTATTTAAAATATTGCATTCAATATATATATAATTAGTAATTTGAATATAATAATTTTTTATATATATAAAAAATATTTTTATTAAAAATTATGAATATTAAATAATAAAAAAATAAAAAATAATGACAAAAGTGGTCAAAGTTAATTAATTAATTTGGATCTGGCGAAAATTTAACGTAGTTGTTGAATTTATTATGAATTTAACATAGTATTTTATTCTGTGCGCTCAGCAGGCTTTTATGTCAATTTAATAAATAAATAAATAAAAATATTTAACATATTTATATCGTTCATCATCATAAATACAATTTTGAAATTCTACAATATTGATCCATACCACTTTCATCTGACACAATAGATTAAAATAAATCGTACAATAATATATATATATATATTTTATATATCAAATTCCTAGGAACGAAATAATTTGTGAAAATATTAAATTATTATCGTGACTCGACGAGAACGTACAATGGCTTCCCGTTTAGTTTATCCCTTCCCTGCATAGAAAAATAATATTAGAATATTATTGTTTTTATAATTAAAATATAAATTAACATGATTCAATTTGCATCATAAATCGTACGTTGTTAGTTCATAATTACAACCGTGTTGTATAACCGTATATAGTATGTTGAAATCGAGTATTGATTGTGTTGTATAAGATTATATCATGTGTTGTTAGTTTATGTGTTGTATTTGTATTATATTAATACAGACGGTGTGCTGCCGATAGTAACAGCGTTTGCTGCGATGTGTTGTCACAGTGCTGAATTAAATTCAGCAATGTAGCCGCCGTCGATTATTAATTCAATATATTAAAAAAAAAATCATTTTCATTTATATAAAATATATCATTTTAATTCACTATATTAAAAAACAATCATTTTTATTTATAACATCATATCATATATATTTATAGTAAATCAAATATTATTTCTTCCCTCATTTATTTATGCTAAAAATTTTGACACAATTTTTAATATAAATAAATATTAATTAATACATTATGTGTTTTACAGTAAAATAAATACAAAAATGACAAGAAAGAGAAATAATAATATCTTTTTACTAAAATATAAGAATATTTTTCCTAAAATCTTTTTGAAAAAAATAAAATATAAATTAGGGTAAACTGGTTTTTTAGTTCCGTAACTGGACCTCCTTATCATTTTAGTCCCGTAAATGGAACCTATCGCAAACTAGTCCTAAAGTGAAAAGTTTTTACTATATTAGTCCTCCGGCGTTGGAGGACTAAAACAACGAAAATTTTCCACTTACGGGACTAAAATGATAAAAGGTCCAGTTACGAGATTAATAAAACAGTGTATCCTATAAATTAATACAACAAAAAAAAATTCAATTTAATTTTTTTTTTTATTATTCCTATATTCCTAACCAAAATCCAACCTTTAAAGGAATTAGTCCAATATTGCTAAATAAGACACTATTTAGTTCATGCTTCAACTTTGTTTCAAAAAAAAAAAAAATTCTAACTAAGACCGGCTTATAATCTCTTATATTTATCTATTTAAGGAGAAGATGAGTTAAGCGAGAGTCGAGAAGTTTCCAAAGATCGAGCCAAAAAATTCAACCACGACTAAAATTCCACAAATATGTTGAAAAGTGAAAACCACGCATACGTACCTTAAGATCCGGTATTTCTATAACACACGAGCATTCCACAACTTCAGCTCCCGAGCGTTCTGAAACACATAATTTTTAACCTCGACGGGTTGTGCATTGTTTGAAAATGCTAAAAATGTCAAAAATATAAACGAACCTAATAAATTCATGGCGGCGTGGAGAGTGCCCCCGGTGGCAATAAGATCGTCAACAACCAAAGCTCGATCGCCCGGCTCCACGGCCCCAACATGCATCTCAAGGCAATCGCTACCGTATTCCAAATCATATTCTTGTCTGAAAACTTTTCCTGTAATAAAAGGATCGAAGTAAACAACAATGTACTTTCTCCATCGTCGAATTGTATGCTCAAATTTTTTAGGACAAATTCTAACTCCCTCGTTCAATTATTTATTTATCCATTTTGTCGACCTATCCAACTTTATTTTTAGTAATTGTACTTTTCATTTACATTATATATATATCTATACTTTATATAATATAACAAATAACACTATAAAAAATAAATAAATTTAGGAGTAAAAACGGCAGTTTAATCTTTTTAATTTACAGTTATCTATAAAATATGTAGTATTAAAAAAAAGGGTAAACTATTTTTAGTCCCGTAACTGGACCCCCTTATCATTTTAGTTCCGTAAGTGAAGCCTGTCGCAAACTAATTTTATAAGTGAAAAATTTTTGCTGTTTTAGTCCTCCAGCGCCGGAGACGCCCGTATAGCTCGCCGGAGGTGACGTGTCCTTTAGGTCAGCGACACCTGGCGGACACATGGAATTTATTTATTTATTTTTCATTTTTAAATTTTTTTAAAAAACTTATTTTTAATTTATCTATAATTTTATTTGCATTTTTTAATTTTTTTATTTGGTCTAATTAAAAAAAAATTAAAAAAATGAAAAAAAAAAATAAATTCACGTGTCCGCCAGGTGTCGCTGACCTAGCGGGACACCCGGCGGACACGTCATCTCCGGCGAGCCACGCGGGCGTCTCCGGTGCCGGAGGACTATAACAGCAAAAAATTTTCACTTATGGGACTAGTTAGCGACTGGCTCCACTTACGGAACTAAAATGATAAGGGGGTCCAGTTACCGGACTAAAAAAACAGTTTATCAAAAAAAAAAAATTATGTATAAAAATATAATACAATTTTTTACTAAAAGAAAAAACAAAAATGTATTTTTAATGATGAAGTTTTTTTTGAAAATTTAATTACTAATTAAAAAAAACGAAGAAAGAAAATGTAAGAAAGTAAATAATATTTGTTGCAAATAAATATTGAATGATGAGTAATAATTAAATATTATTTTTTAAATTTTTTCAAATATAATAATAGGGTAAACTTAACCGACATTTGCACGCTTCTGTCGACTAATCTATCCAATTATTCAAGTATTTCAATGGAACATTCTTAAGAAAATGTAAAGTGAATTGAATTTATTACATTACCCGGTAATTTGTTTGGCTTTCTCATGGGAACAAACTTCGCTCCAATCGCTAATGCGATAGGCGGGCCAAATATAAAGCCTCGAGCCTCTATTCCTAAGCCGAAGAAAGGATTCGAATAAAAGGAAATGTTTTAATATTACAAGAACATACGAAAATTTTAAAAAGGTTCGGAAGTGAACATAAACTTCATTACAAGTGTATATATTCCATGAAATTTTACAACAAACGACTAACCATTTTCTGGTTCAATAATTTTCGATGATGAAATAGTGAATGAAATTTACTATACAATTCTTATGATCATTTATAAAAAGATATTAATTTTGGTCCCAAAATATTATATTCGATTTGTTATGAATTTATTTCTGGATCCTTTGGATTAGGGTAAGGTGGATCTGGGTAAATGAATTGAATTATAATTAAAGAGTTTGGCCGATCCGGTAGACCAGACTACAGAGTGGATCAACCAATTATTTATCGAGGGACTTGTCGAATCAGGCCTCGAGCCGCCAAAATTCCCAATACGGTCAATATTTAAATATATAATACAAATTAAACGACACACTCTAGTCTATGAGTTATCCTAGCTAATATATATATATATATATATTAAAAAAAGATATTTTTTCTTCATTAATAACTTATCTAAAATTAATTATACTACTTTCGTTTCATAATATATGCATTTACTTTTGCGTTTAGATATTTGAATATTAACAATTATATTAATATATATAGTACAATAATACAAAAAAATAAATGACTATATTGTTACAAGATAAAAACAATAAGTCATAATAAGAAACTAAATATTAATGAATTGTTTCTTTATGATTATTTTAATATTTTAAATACATTCTAATTATTGTAATAATGTAGGTAATAAAGAGTGTATTTAATTAGATACTCTCCATGTGTTAATCAACGCGCCACCATTAATTAATTAATCACCAATAATATCATAATATAAACATGGCACTAAAAGCATACGTGTCATAAAAAATTTTAACATAAAAAACTTTTAAGAAAAAGAAAAAAATTTATTAAATGTGATAAAAAGAAAGTGTTTATTGGAAATTCTCGCAATATTCATTTACAGTATTTTTTTAAAAAAATATCAAATTAAATATTATTATGATTATCTTTTTTATTCCTATAAATTTTGAAGACTCCAAAACATCGAATATAATTATCACGTAAAGAAGAAGGTATGGATTCCGGCTGGCAACATAAATTTAAAATTCCAAAGAAGAAGAAGACGACGTTGTCGCAAATGTCCAGACGAGCACAAAAACAAACAAATAAAGACACATCGGAGACACACACACATATGTTAGGACAAAACAAGAAGTAGATAGGCTGTGTCCAACCATCGTTAATAAAAATATCGACGGGGAACATGGTGTCGGACCCGCCAACCACAAGAACAAAAAAATCAAAAATCAAAACATTGCTCTTCTTATTAATTTAGAATTCGCGCCCATGATAAGGTTAGATGCCTTTCGTACTATTAGAATATGAAACTGAAATTCTCTATTTCAATCATAAGAATACGTACGTATTTATAGTGATATATAAATTGTTTAAATAAGACAAAAATCTTATAAATATCTTAAATAAGATAACTACCATAAATATAACATATTGCTTCTAAATATATCTTAACACATACATTTGTATTAAAAACATACGATAAAAAGATAAGTCGCAAACAATGACGAGTGTAAGAACCATAATTTTTTGCACTAAAGAGTTTTCCATTCACCACGTCAATCGATCTACAAAAGTATTAAAATTAATATAATCGATATAAAGTGAAATAAGTTATGGTTTTTTAAAGAGACAAAAAGGGTAGTGGTTTTATTGGACACTATGCCGCGTAAATAATCTTTCAAGTAATAATTGGCCATGATTGCCTACGGCGAAAAAAGCAAAAAAAAAAGAAAAAAAGACGAATTCATTCCACTTAAATATAATCATTTTAAAAAGCATAAATTGTGCGAAGAAATTCATACTTAATAAAAATTCGAATTTTTTTCATTTGACTTCGCTGGAATTTTGGTGACAACTCAGAAAAAAAAAAAAAAAAAAAAAGTTGCATTCGAATCTGAATCAATTTTTCACTTAGAAAAAAATGAGCCCTTCAAAGGTAAACATAAATCTTGCTAGAAATGAACAAAGGACGAAGAATTCGATGGCGACATTATGGGTGATGGGGCCGGGACATCGTCGTCGCCGATAATGTAATGTGGAACCCATTTACCAACCACACCCCACCATTTAGCCATTTCTTCATCTCCAAATTCATCACTTAAAATTAATTTATATGATAAATTTTCTTAATTTTATGGACAATATATACAATTATATGCTACATGAATGAATATGATTTGTCCTAAAATTAGTTATATGCAAGAAAATTTACCATATAGATACTTTTAGAATTTTCAACACTATTCATTGTCGCATATTTTTCGTTAGATAAAACATAGATAGCATACTTTTTACTATTTTCGGAAAAAATTTAAAACTTTTAAAGTTTCTATCTAAATGTAAAAGATGAAATCTTGATGAAGTGAAAGATAAGCATTGAATGTAAATTGAAATTAAAAATTAAAATAGAAATTGATAAGAAGAAGAGGCAGACCAGCTACGACGGTAATGTTCTTGCATTGGTAACGTTCGATGAACAAATCGATGGTGTCTTTGAAGGCCTTGGGGTCGAGTAAAAGTGTAGTGATGTCTTGAAACCTTATCCCTGCAAAATAAATAAATAAATAAAATTGAGGGAATGAATTCTGCAGTTGATGAAGAGTAGACAATGTGTTCGACGAAAGTACGCACCGGGCTTTGGGAAGTTGGGGACGACTCGAATTCTTGATTGAATTGTCGGAATCCGAGGGTCGTCGTTGGTTTCGAGTGCCGACATGGTTTTCTGGTAATCAGATTAATTGACAGGCAAATCTTCACAATACACCATAAGAACACGACGACGAAGAAGAAGAAAGATTTGAGCTGAGGAAGATACGAAAATAAGGATGTACATTATTTATAGGGATAATTTGGGTGTTTTCTTTTTTTTTTAAAAAAAACAGTAATAATAATAATAATAATTTGAAGGATTGAAATTTTCATTTTATATGATATTTTATTAGATAAAAAATAAATAAATAAATAATCCTTGGACACCGAAGTTGCTGATGTAACATGTCGTGAAATACCAAAAATTGTGTAGGTAATACTTTGACAATATTTAAAGATCATTTATGTCAAAAAATTTTAGTTATGATTCTAAAATGATTATTACATAATAAAATGAGTATATGAAAATTACTAAACTTTATTTATTTGTAATTCATTAATATTATTTTAACTAATAATCATCAATTTATTATTATTTTTTTCGTTAATTCAACTACTTTTTTATTATATTTTTTAATAAAATTTTCATATTATATTATATTATATTTTTTACCTATATTTACGCTTAAATATTTTTTATTTTATTTTTTGTATTAAGACAATATAATATTCCATCTGTTTTATATATCTTAGCAATATTTGATTTTCAGCATGAAAATTTAAATAAATAGTGTAATGAGATGAAAGTGTATATTTATTTTTTTTATTTAATGAAATAAAGTATAATTAATCATTTTTTATTGTATTTGAAACAAACAAAAATAAAAAATATTATAAAATATTTGGGATAGAAAAATTCCGCAAAAATATTTTCAAAATATATTAATTGGATTTTAAATACACTATTTATCTCATTTTTTCTTCCAAAAATATCAATTAAAACACTTATTTTTTATGTTTTATATTATACTAAAAATCAATTTTACATTAAAAATATAACATCAACACCTATTTATATCACATTATATTACTATTCAAATTCAAAATTTTTACTATTAACATCCGAACTCAAAATCAAAAGCGACGAAGAAACACACCTCTGATAAAAACAGGAATTGAGTTGTGGGCGATGGCGTAAGTGGGTGTGGATTTCAATTCTTGAACCATTTTGGGACAAGCATTAGGGATTAGCTACGAGAGATTAAAAAATATAAGATTTTATTAAAAAATAAAAAAGAGAAAAATAGAATTATAATTGAATATTTATAAAAATAAAGAAAAAAAATTAAGAATTTTAGCAGTGACAAATATTAAATGAAAAAATAATTAAATAAGTATAAAATTCTTATATTTATTAGAATAGTAATACTCCCTCCTTCTTGGAACAAGGGTGTAGTTTGTTTTTTGCACGTAGATTTTTGAATATTAGTATTATAATGGATTGTAGTGAAAATGACGAAAATACCTCTATTAGTATTGTGTAATACAAAAGTAATGGCATTTGTATAATATAGTGTAAGTTGGAAAGATATTTATTATGTTAAGTAAGTAGTATAAAAAATGAAAAATAGTAACCTTATTTTGGGACGGACGAAAATGAAAAATGACAACCCATTAATAAGTTTGCAGAGCGTGTTTCATTGTTGGTATGTACGTATGTATGTTTTATTATTATTATTATTATTATTATTATTATCATTATTATTATTATCCCTTAAATTTAGAGCTGTTCGATGGTGACTTCCACTTGGTTCTTTTTAGCATATTTTGTCGAACTCACTCACAACTTGTTATATCAATTTATCTATTTTTATTTTTTATAAAAAATATTGGGAAATTAAAGAACACGCCCATATATAGTATAGGATAAATATATTTATTGAATAATCTACCAAATAATTAGATGACTTTTTTTTTTACATGAAAATGTATTATTAATTAATTAAAATTTATAAAATAGATTTATTTAGTCAAAGTCATCTCCGACTTTGTTGGCTTGTGGTCTCAAATAGTTGAATTATCATCAACAATTGATTCCCTCTCTTACCCTTCAGCTCACTTAATTATATTATCTGTCGTTTTACAAAATTTATATATATACATATTATAATATTTGCTTTGCTTTATTCAGCAAATATTTTTATTTATTGCATGCTTCCTTCGGTCCATTTGAAATTTTGTAATACATTAAAAAATAATATTTTTATTTATTATTATATTTTTTTAGTTATTTACTAATTATATTTTAATTATATATAATTTCATAGGGAGAAAATAGTATTTTATTAGTCGGTGAAGATGTGTAAGAGATTTTTGACATTTTTATTCTTTGATTTTATGGATAAAGTAATTGTAGATGTAATGTTATGTTTGTAATTTAAGTAAAAATTAAAGTATATATTTGTATTAGTATATAGTTACTTTTTTTAAAATAAAAAATTAATATTTTAAATGAGATGAACGAAGATAGTAAAAAAAAAAAAAAGTTTAAAAATCAAACAAACCTGTAAATTTCCCTCAACAAAATCAAACCATATTCAGCGAGTAAACAGTGATCCCAAAACTGTGGTTTGAATTGGTAATTTTATTACACTACCAATTAATTATGTGGTGAGACAAACCCAATCCAAAAAGTATTTAAACATACCCAACCAAATCTCATTCCAATTAAAATTAAATTAAAATAAAAATTATGGCTGCTCCTCCCGACACACCCCATGCATTTTTGCATTCCAACCATCAGGAAGACGATCCTTTGCTCGACCTCGAGGCTTCGCCGGCGCCGGCGCCGGAGTGCCGCCGCCGCCGCCCGGCAGTGACTCTTCTGGCGGCGGCCGCCGGGCTGTTGGGCGTCATTGTTTTGCTCGGGTCGTACGTCGGGAATAATTTTGGAAGGCCCGTTGAGAAGGGGTGTAGCGACCGATTAATGGAGAAAATGATCCCGGAAGAAGATCCCGGAGTGGCCGCCGGAGTTTCGCCGAAAAGATTCCGGCCGACCGGCACGCCGGCGTACCAATGGAAGGTTGAGCTGTTGCAGTGGCAAAAAACGGGGTTTCATTTCCAGCCGGAAAATAATTGGATGAACGGTAAGAGCCGATCAGCTAACGTGTTTAGATATGTTATGAACTCAATTTTATACTATTCATAGTAAAAAAATTTACTAATTAAAATAGTTTTAGAATAATGTAATTTAAGAATATAAAATACTACATCTATTGTCTAAATTTGTTTTTTGTTTTTTTTTGTATTTTATATATAAAAAAATAAGTATTAATTTGAATGAGGTATGAAATATATATATATATATTGAAAACTTATTTATTAAAAAAAATAATATAAAGAATTATATGAATTATTAATTTTTATGAATATAGATAAGATATACCGTGTAAATATGTATATATTTATTGAAAATCGTATTTTAAAAAAATATTGGAGTAATTGATATTTTATGGTCACTAACCAACTTTGTTTTGGTGCTACCATGGATTTCTTGGAATGGATAATTGTGACAATCTTGTGGATTCAGATCCAAACGGTAAGATTTTATTCTTTTTATGCTTAAATTTAATTTCCATATATTTATTTTTTTAAAAATTATATTTCCATATAGGGAATAGTTACAGTACTGATTTGAAAAATTCAATGAATATGTGTGTTGTATAAAAATATGTCATATTTTAAAATAAACTGTTGATGTATGTGATTATAATATATATTGTTAATTTATATATTGTATTATATTATATTAATATAAGGAATGCGCTGCCAGAAGTAATACAATGTGCTATTTGTTATTACATGCTGTGAGTTTATATATTATATGTTATATTATATCAATATAAAAGATTTGTTGCAATAAGTAATACATTGTGTTATTTGTTATTACATGTTGTTGAAAATAGTAATCAATTTTAGTCCCCGCCTTCAATGTACATTGTACTACATAATTAACAATTAAGATCTTATACAAAAATTCATTTATTACTCGAGAGAATCTTATATTGATACAGGACCAGTTCTATACAAAGGATGGTACCACTTTTTTTACCAATACAACCCCTTCGGGGCCATATGGGGCAACATTGTCTGGGGGCACGCCGTGTCTCAAGATCTCATCCATTGGCGCCACCTCCCGGTCGCCATGGCTCCCGATCATTGGTACGACGTCAACGGGGTTTGGACCGGCTCGGCCACCATCCTCGAGGACGGCGAGCTCATAATGCTCTATACGGGCTCGACCAACGAGTCGGTCCAAGTCCAAAACCTTGCCTACCCGGCCAATTCCTCGGACCCTCTTTTAGTCGATTGGGTCAAATACTCGGGCAACCCGGTGCTAGTGCCCCCGCCGGGGATTGGGCCGACGGACTTCCGTGACCCGACCACGGCGTGGCGAACGCCCGAGGGGAAGTGGCGGATCACGATCGGATCCATGATTAACAAGACGGGCATATCGTTGGTTTATGATACTGATGATTTCAAGAAGTATAAGCTCCTCGATGAGTTGCTCCACGCGGTCCCGGGCACAGGTATGTGGGAGTGCGTCGACTTTTACCCGGTGTCAAAGACGAAGATGCGCGGGTTGGACACGTCGGAGGATGGACCCGACGTTAAGCATGTTGTCAAGACGAGCTTGGATGATGACAAGAACGATTATTACACGATCGGGAGTTATGATAGTCATTCGGGCACGTGGAAGCCCGATGATCCCATTATCGATGTGGGTATTGGGTTGAGATACGATTACGGGACTTTTTATGCCTCGAAGACATTTTATGACCCGGATAAGTACCGGAGAATCTTGTGGGGATGGATCATGGAGAGGGATAGTCAAGATGCCGATGTGAAAAAGGGTTGGGCCTCGGTTCAAGTAAGCTATTAGTATATGGTTTTGATTCAGACTATTCATCAAATTTTATTTTATTTTTTTAAACTATTAAATCAAATACTTATTTTTCCTTTAATAAGTCAACCGACACTATTTCTATTTAAATTTGTACTATTTTCAAACTTCTGATAGGCTATTCCAAGAACCATCCTATTCGACACGAAAACACGAAGCAACATTCTACAATGGCCCGTTGAGGAGGTTGAAAGTCTAAGAAACGACGAGAGGGGCTTCGACAAGGTCGAGGCAAAGCCAGGTTCCGTGGTGCCTCTCGACGTAGATCCCTCATCCGAGGTTCGCACATTATCCTCTCACTTTATACTATCATAACATTGCTAGGATGATAGAATCAAAATGGAATAGTAAAAAACGACCAGACAAATGTGATAATTGAATATATATATATATATATATAGTGTTATGTTACCTACCCTATAAGATACCTAAGATCTTTCTTGTAGCTTGACATTGTTGCTGAGTTCGAAATCGACAAAGATTCCTTAGAAAGAACAAATGGCAAAGATGAATCGTACAATTGTTCGATGAGCGGGGGAGCTGCTCAAAGGGGAGCTTTGGGGCCATTCGGGCTGTTGGTTCTTTCGGACAAGGACCAAACTGAGCAAACCCCAGTTTACTTTTATGTCTTTAAAGACCATGAAGGAGATTTCAAGACATTTTTCTGTGCAGATCAATCGAGGTATATATGTGTTTGTGTGTCGAACATTTTTCCTATTGCATCAATTGATGTTGCATTCGATGATTTTGATTCGTTTTTTTTGTTCCGCGACAAAACTCAGGTCATCTGAAGCTCCGGACGTCGATAAAGCCATCTATGGCAGCTCGGTGACGGTGACAAAAGACGAAAAACTTTCCATGAGGATTCTAGTAAGTTTTCGAACCCTAAACCCTAAAACTATATGGGAAAGGAAGCCCCATTTAAAACCCTAAAATTAATAGGAAACAAGTATCAATGAAATTTAACTACATAACCTTACAATTTTATTATTTTCGTTCATTAAATTCACATAAAAAAATCCCATTTCTTGTTCTTTGAGTGGCAGGAAAAAGAATTTTTTTTTTTTTTTATAAGATATACAATCAAAATAGAGTCGAAAAAGAAAAAAAAATATATAAGATATAAAAGTTGTAATTGAGTCATTGACATGAGACTAAATTTGCAATTATCTTAAACCCTAGCAATTTGAGATTCAATGCCACATACAATCTTGTAATTATATATATATATATATTTTTTTTCAACTCTGATATCATGTTAAATAATCATCTCAACTAAAATTTTAAATCAGTAGAAATATACATTATTAATTACGTAATACCATCTTCCACCCAATTTGATTACTAACTTAGAAATTGTGCGACTCTAATGCAGGTGGATCACTCGATTGTCGAGAGCTTTGCGCAAGGAGGGAGGACTTGCATAACGTCGCGCATATATCCAACAAAAGCTGTCTACGAGAACTCTCGAATCTTCTTGTTTAACAATGCAACCGACGCTAAAATCACAGCTTCGCTCAAGATATGGCAAATGAATCAAAATCATTATTCGTATGCGCGCATACTTTCGGTTCCCTTATTCGCATATTTGCTTCCAATTTTGCTCTTTCTTGTTGTGGTCAGCAATTGATATATCTCTTTGTTGAGCTCCTCACATTTTACGACGACCTCAACAATTTTTTTTTGATCATAAATCAATCATATGCAAACCCTAATTGCATATGATGAATCTATGTACGGCTTGGATCGATTTGATGGATAATAAATTGAGTTTGTTTTCGAATGATCGTCCTACATTTGTTGAATGTTGGTTTTTTATAGCTTTGAATTTTGCAATTTTAATCATGAATATATGTATATTCCATTTTTATCGTTGTCCTATAATTTTATATGTTGTATTTTTTTTTTTATCACTTTTTCCTTTATGAAATTTATAGAGCTCGTGATTGTCGATCAATTTCCAATATAAAAATAGCAAAATATTAACTCACTAAAATAGAAAGCTACGTTGTTATTATGATATTTCACTATGCTACTTGGTTTCTCATCAAATGTCGAATATCTTTCTATCGTCCTAACAATTGATCGACACCCTCGAGCCTCATCATACTAATGGGCCGGGCCTCAAGCTATCTAAAATATAGGCCCTAATCTATCTATTATGTAATGAACATTTATAATCACCGTAATTTTTATAAAAATATATTATTTTTTCTTACAAAAAATTACATTTTAATCATGTTTAAACAAAAAAAAAAAAAAAAAACTTGAATAAAATCTAAATCTAAAGATTTCACCAAGTAAGCACACTCAAATACAAATACAACATGCAAATTTATAGGACAAATTGGTAATAGAACGTATACATGTATATGTATGTATATATAAATGATTAATTAAAATTGAAAATATTACCATGTAATATGCAATTCATCTTAATAGGGAAAAATAAAAGTTTTAATTAACTCATGGATGTGAAGGGTCAACGAGATTTATGGGTGGATCTTTTATTTATTTTTTCTGCATAATAAATGACCGGTAGAATAGGTCTTCTTGTTGAGTCTGTTGAGACTTTTTCGAAACTGCTATTTCTTTTGTAGTGGCTATTTAACGCCCAGCTCGATTACTGAATAAATCGTCGAAGCTTCCTCGTGCATATTGATTCTTTTCTTCCTTCTTTGCTCTAACAGGATGTGCTTAATTAGGCATATATAGCTCTACGAAGTATATGTTGAGTTTGTTTTAAATGTTTCGATAAAGTCCAATTTAAATACAATAGTCAATATAATTGAAAACTAAATGTGAAATGATCAAGGTAGCTAGGACAAAATTTTCTAAGGGATAATATGTATGCATATAAGTTCACACCATGGTTTGTAACTACTCACATATTAACCATTAAAATTAGAACAACATATTCACCCAATTCCCTAACAATAAGATAAAATAATTGCCCTTCTAAGAGATCACCTGATAGTGTAGGAAATGAACTTGTAATCGTAAAGTTATGAGTTTAAATTCCGATATATCTAGGTCCACTTGCCATAAATGATTTGTTGTCTTATCAGGCCGAGGCTTTACCAATGCTCACTTTAGGTTGCAACTTCCCACGTGATAAAAATAAAATAATGACAATAATATGAGGTTTGTATTTTTACTATATTGACTAATTGAGTTGATTATTTATTTAATAATATATATTTATATATCGTAATAAAGATATATATATGATTGTATAAAATTGGAAAAAAAAAAAAACAAATGTCGAAAGAAAATGAAACTATAAAACTATCTTGTGGTTGGCTTTTATTTATATTTTTATATTTGTATTTAAAAAGTAATTTAAGATAATATTTTGTGAAAAAAAAAAAAAATTTAATAAAAACTCGTAACGGAACAGCAAAAAAATAAATGAAAATCAATAAGAACAAAGCCATCGCATAAAAACAAACGTTCGAAAACATAAGTATTTTGCTATAAAATTTACCACTCAGATTGTCGACATTTCTGTTGCTAATAAGGATGAATAATGAACATCCACAAAACAAAATCCTAAGTTAGCAAAAACACCAACCATATAGAGCAATTTTACCTGTCGAAACCTACCGGCATTGCTCGGAGTGTTCATCTAATATTGGGGTAGCTTAGAATTTGACGGTGGCTGGAGTTTCGGGTAAAATTACGCCAGCCAAGAGAGAGCGCCGATCAGTATAGTGTTAGCATTAAGCGAAAGTTCCGAGTTATTAGGGGCGAGGCATTAGCCTTCGACCATCATGTTATGCATTAGTCCTCGGAGGATTGGTATTTTCTGTTTGTTCCGACTGTGGCAGCCTCGGCTTTTGCTTCAAGAAGCTTTTTGAGTAAATGGAACCAAACACAATAACCTGATCCATTGTTGGAATAAAAAATGAGATGATGTAAGGGGTGAAAAAATCGAAAAATTATATAGGTTAAGGGGAGAGAGGTCGATGCTTACTGCGCCGATCAGTTGTTCAATGCTCAGTGGGTGCGCAAACCAGACACAGGAGAGCAGAATGCTTACCAACTGCATCGATGGATAAATAACATTACATGGAGACGGCAAGAACAGCAAAAATGGCGACTAAAAAAAAGTTTAAAATGGTAGCTGCACCTGTCTGGTGGTCATTATGGTGGCAAAAGTCAGCGCACCGAAATTGCGGATGGTGTAAAATATAAAGAACTGGCTCACTGTAGCAACCTGCAAGCGAAGAACGCGTCAACCACAATGTTAGGAGAAAGAAATCGACTAGGATTGAGAATGGAGAATAGAGTGAAGAGGGAAAGTAACAGCTCTGATTTTTCGAACTTAGATTTGTAGAAGTGAAATGTTGGAGAACTTACAGTTGAAAGAATAGCAATGTCTAGGAAACAATCATTGTGCCGAGTGACAAAATCTATGGCCATGAGAAGATTGCCTTGCAAGATTAGACCTATATAGAAATCAAACAAAGCCTTTTAAAAGATAATGGGGGAAAAAGTGGAAGACATGGATCAGATGTAATTACTCATCTACAGAAACATATGTCTGCAGAAAAAGGTAATCGGTAAAGGAGATTTTACAAGGTGTTAAAGCAATCGAATGCACTTCCGTTTAATTTAAATAAAAATACCCAAGTATCAAAATAACCAACGACACAAGAACCTGAAACATGAACACATCATAACATTTCAATTCTAAAAAAAATTTTACCAGTTCATTCAAGTTTAATATATAAGAGCATAACAAACCTATTGAAGCCATCAAGATCCAAATTGAAGAAAAGGATGGACAACTTACCAGTGAAACTGATCATGCAAGAACATAATGTTGTATAAAATATCTGATTATGTATCCCCATATCATAGCCTTTGAACAGCTTGTCCTGAAATGTGCTTGTGAAGCCATCACACCTGCAAAAGACGAAGCCAATAGCAGACCAGCAGCGTAAGTTATCGATCCCTGATTTGCAGATAATAATACATCAATAGGCGCTCAATTCAACGGATACATTATACAGAACCATATACAATAAGTAGCAGTAAAAATAGGAGTTCCAGACAAATTATTTTCACTATCTGATTGAGTTTGACCATCAACACAGAGCAACAAGGAGAACAAGGAGGCATTCTTGAGAAGGCAAGTGTTTATTATCTACATTGACAACGAAGCTGAAAGTGGGGCATATGAAGAAATATCATAGTGAAAGGCTTTTGATGTTTCAGCAGAAGGAGAACAGATTATCTAGAGCAACTCATGGAGAGTTAACCACGTGGGACAAACTATGGTCATGTTTGAAGTTAGTTAAATATAAGTTTCTATTTGGACCGGGATTTGTACTTACTCCGAGAGCAATTTTACAATCTTTTAGTTCTATGATTTTGGCACTGCTAGGATTCAAATCAATTTGGCTGAATTGATACTTGTATCATACATGACTAGCTTCAACATCACAAAAACAGCTACCTTTGTACTGATAAAAGGGATAAAACTGCTTTTCAAGCTTCTTTAAACAACTGCAGTTAACAGGCTCAATACAAAATTATTTGGAAAAAAAAAAGACATTTAACTAATGACTACTTTGTACAAGGGCTTACGACAACTCTACAGTAAAAGGCAAGGACCGCAGAATAAATAAAGTAGTTAAAGTATGGTGCTGAACTTTTAAAAAAAGCATATTTTGGTGGAATAAAGATATTTCCTATTGTCAATTATAAGGAATTCTGTGAAATTAAAACACTAAATAAAGGTAGGCATACCCCAGGTAACCAATCATCAAGGAAATGCCCCAAATGGTGCTTTCCCTTCCTCTACTGTATGGGCTAAGATCACCTGCTGCCTACATTGGAAAGTTGTCAAGTATAATGTAATAAACTTTATCACCACACAAGATATGAGCATTCTAACCACATATGCTATTAAGAATCAATTAACTATAAACAGATATAAGATATCACATCAAGATTTTTCAAATGCAACATGCCGTAGTTCTAATACAAGATAAGGATGACATCCAAAAATCAAACAGAATCTTGAAAAAATTTGCCTTCTCTAGACCTGTTTTTACAAATGGTAGTTTCAAAAATAAAATTTAAAATTAACATATCCCTAAAATCTTTAAAAATGAGATATTCAGCATGTCATATTCAAACTAAAGAAGAACATATTAGATAGAATCCCTACCGGAAATAATATAAAAATAGAGCATCCAAGAGTAATCAGGAAGGCAAATAGGTAATCAGGCCCGGTGTACTTCTTTTGCATGATGATTGTACCCCAAACCTGTAATAAAGTCAGAATAAGAAAATTGTTAAAGGAGAGTCTCACTCTTGACTGACTATTTAATTGGATAATAAAGTTAAGTTAAAGGAAATACTCATTCAACTTACAATATAGAGAGAATTACATTCTAGAAGATGGACTACAATAAAACTTGACAAAAGCTTTTCCTATTCTCTAGAAAAGCTTTTGTCAGAAAAGGTTTTGTCATGTTTTATCTATCAGAATTCACTTTGGCTAAATGACACTCGCATACTAATTGATGCTAAGAGGGGCAATTAGTAAAGTTTCCTCAGTAACGAGCAATAACAGAATACAAAGCAAACTCACCATTACAGGTATCATTTTTGCACACTTTGCAAGGGTCTGCACAGGGAAACTAACATATTTAAGAGCCTGGAGAAAGTAAAGCAAACATTTTTCATGTTAGTCACTTGTAATCACATCCCAGAACCTTATATTGAAAAGAAAAGCCTTCAAACCAATAGAAATTAAATAAGAAAACATTATCTCAAAGTAAATTTGAATATTATTACATAGCAACCAACATAAAACGAGCAAGCTTACCTCATATTGACAAGTTGTAGTTAGAATATTAGACACAGAAACAACACAATATTTGTAGATTGGAGCAACAGGGTCAACAACTGTTTTGTTTGCCTGGAAAAACAAAAATAAAAGAAATTTCAACCTGAGATTTCAAACAAATTCTAATGTGCATTCAACGAGATACGTTTTTGGAAACTTTCATGTTTGATTAACATTCGGAATCATTTACGTTTGGTGTATCAGTAAATGCTACGGTCGAACTTCTCACTTTTCATACACTACATAGTATTGTGAAAGAATATCAAGTAAAAGATGCCACAGAAGACATCAAGCCAATGTACATTATGTCCACTCATTAATAAACCATTAAAACTTTCATCAAAATTTGTGAAGAAATACACTGAATTGATTATCTAGTAAACAACAGTAAATAAAAATGATTGTACATTGCTCGCAATTACCAAAAGAACTCCAGCAGATACGGCAGAAGTTGTTATACGGTTGCAGAACACAAGAAATAATGAATACTTAAAATATTCTTTCTCCGGACCATAAGGAACTCTCATGATCTTTTCCTGAAACAAACAATATTCAGTCAGTTATCCCAACATCTACTTGATATGAATGAAAAAGATCACTCAGACACATATAAAATAAATATCAATTCCCACACTAATAAATCAAATCAGGCAATTCGCATATTTTGACAACACAACCAAATAGGAATGCAACATCTCTACACTATCATTATTAGTTTACAACCATTTAAATTCACTAATCTCTTCTTTTCTAAACTGATTCTCCCTTACTTTTTCTCTAAAATCGACTTTCAAAGTCACTGATGATTAAGGAAATCTACACGAGCTACGACATAAAACATGACATTGTCCAATATGGTTTTCTGCATTCATATCAATTAGTTGCTTGATTGTTAAGTCACATTATCTCCACCAAAACAAAGTCAAAACCGTAAGCCCATACTATCCAGACAAAATCCTAGCTCCACCTTTCAATTAGCCATACAAATCGCCTATTCAAGTTTGAATTAAGATATCAATTAGTATAAAGTCAAAAAGTTTTCCTTCTTGTTCATAAACCACACCCATCACTAATTCACAACATACACACATACATACATATATCCACTAAGTGCACGAAATTAACCTGTAAAACGCCATAGATGAGAAGCGTTGACATGATCCCCGACACCGCGAACCCCACTTTTACGAACTTATTCTCTTTCCATTTCTGTATCAACTGTGTAGGAGGCTCCGCCATTTTTCCAATCCAGTCATCCGCCGCCTACACCACCGACGACACTATTCGCACAATCACAAATACAATCCATCACCCCAAAAAAATCACACTAAAAATCCATCACCCCAAAAAAATCACACTAAAAATCCATCCCCACAGCCGCGGGCGTACACAGCAATGCACAAATAGAATTGAAAAATACCTTCAACAATAAACGAATCTGGGAGACAAAGCGTACCTACAACAGAAGCACGACGCGAGCGGCCTTCGATGAAAGACCCGCCGTTCCACGGCGCAGGGGATGATCTGAAATTGATTTGATCGCCGGCAGAATTTTTGGGGTTCCGAATGACGCCAGTGGGATGGGGGGGTTTTCTTGTTTCCTCCCTCCTTTTTCAAAAACAATATATTTTTTTTGGCACTCTACAAATATAATAATAATTTAATTATTCGTTTAGATTTTAAAAATGGAAACAAAAAATTAGTTGAAATTATCCAGAATGATGGGAAAAGTCTTTTTTTTAATAAGTTTATTTTTAATAATTCTTCAAGTGTGTTGATTTTATATCTTTTAAATTTTATTTTTTTATTTAGAAATAAGAAATTATATAATAATATAAAATTAATTTTTATATTAAATAATTAACTTTTTATAAAAGAAATAAAATAATATATATATATATATATATTGGGTTGAATGAATATACCATATATTACTGCATGTTTCCTACTTAAATAGTTTTATTTGCATTTAAGCTTGTAATAGCTTATTTTTACTTATATTAGGTCATATTTCAAAAATAGTGCAGACGTGGGACAACTCAAAAATAAAAATATTTTAGTAGAATATATGACACAAATAGAGTATATTTGTATTACCTATAATTTTTTCACATAAAAAATAATAAATAATTAAATAAACACCCTCTAAAATATTTAATAATATTTTTAAAATTTATTATTATTATTTAAATATATGCATATATAAATAGAATCAAATAATTTGAATTTTATTTTTCTATGAGTATCTTTCGGGGTTTGGATTTTGAACTTCAGTCAAAATTTTAAATTAAAATAGTTGCATAATATAAATAAGTGTTAATATAATATTGTAAATATAAAATTAATTTTTGTAATATTAAAAAATAAAAAATAGAGGTTTATTTAATATTTTTAAAAAAAATTGATAAATAGTGATGTTAAGGGAAATTTCCAAAACAAACACACCCTCTAGATTTTTTTTATTTTATTTTAATTTAAAATAAAATTTTAATTTGAGTTTTTATTTAAAAAATATTTTAAATTTATATTTCATAAAAAATATATTTTTTTATTAAAATTATTATATAAAAAAACACCCTGCTATAAATAAATTGGTTTATTTAGATGATAATAATAATATAAAAATTGTTTAGCAAATGGTCAAACCTGCTAAAGGAAAACGAGAATGTTGTCGGATTCATATTTATTTATTTTAATTTATAAGCCACGTGGCAAAATTATTTATTAATTAATTATTAAGAATGTGTTGCTTAATATTTTGACTTATTTTTTATATTTTAAATGTAACAGGCATGTTTGGTTTCGATTAAGTTTGCATTTTTAATTTTAAAATTAGTTTTAAATAATACTTCCTCCGTCCCTCGTCCGAAACACTGTGCAACATTTTTTTTTGGTACGTCATAAACATTCTGCAATATTTCTAAATTAGGAAATAATTAATTATATTTAATCTATATCACTACACTTTATTCCATCTTATCATTCTAATAAAAAAAAATATATATATACACTTCTCTCTCAATCACATCACCTAATTACTCAATTATCCTACTTAATAATTAAAAAAATATGTTTTTAATTGATTGTATGACTTTGATTTGGGCCAAAATTGTTTGTTTGGGGGATTGGATTGGATTTACACTATTCATCCAATTTTTTTTCCCAAAAAATATCAAATCAAACACCTATTTTTCATTTTTTATATTATACTAAAAATCAATTTTACATTCAAAACATCACATCAACACTTATTTATATCACATCATACAACTATTCAAATTCAAAAATTTTACTATTTAAATCTCAACTCAAAATCCAAACCCCCAAACAAACACACCTTAAATAAATTTTATCTTTTCTATATATATATATATATAATAAGTATATAATCTCAAATCAAATTCTTATATTATACTAGTAGTTAAATAACAAGGAGCGACTCCTAGCAGGAGCAGTTGTTGGCCCTAATTAATAGAGAGTTCATATTTTAAAATTGTATTATCCATTATTATTATTATTATTATTATTATTATTATTATTATTAAATTTTAAATTTTTAAAATTAAATTTGAACTTTTAGTTAATATTTTTTCTTTTTCGTAATTATTCAATTTAATTTTAAAATTAAATTTTAAACTCTAATAATAGGTACTTTCTTATATCTTTTTCCTAATTATATCTTACCATATATTTACAAATTTAATCATCGTCTACGTTTCTCGACCTCACACTTTGTCTACTGCATCCACCCACTCAAACCCAACTTGCCCCACCTTCTTTCTTCTCTCTCTTTCACCCTCACTCAATCATTGCTTTTTGAATCTTCGAATAGTCCGTCTTTCATTTTTTTTTCTCAAATACTACCTAGACCATTGCATTCAATCTCTTATCCAATCGACGCCAATAACTGATATTATTTTGAAAATACATTTTAATCATGTGTTTACAGGGACCTATAAATAATTTTTCGCTCAGGGCTCCAAAAAAGTTCGAGACGGCCTTGTAAATAATATATATGAACAAACAAAAAAGCGTAATAAAATGTTTGAATTTGATTTTTTTTTACTTGAAATCTAGTTTAAATAATATTTTTTAAATATATATAAATGTATTTTATTTAGAATATATAAATATTACATTTAAAAAACAAAAGACATGTGTGCGAGAATGTGTGCAGGAAAATATAATGAGGTTTAGAAGCACGCTGAATGATTATGTCTTCTTTGGGATCAAACATTGCTTCAAAGGGAAAATAACATTGCATGCATATATAATAATATTTTTGTCTATTTTTTTTTACATTTTTTATTTTTTTCATAAATTTTAGGGAATACAAATTTATTAGTTTTTTTGACGATTCTGTTTTATTTAGATTTTATTTATATTGTATTTAAAAGTATAAAATAGGAAAAATTGTGTGCAAGTAAAAAAAAAATTATTGAAGTTTTGCGACATCTCAAATTAGAAATAATAAAAATGTATAGAATTTGCGGATGTAGATATGCAATTGTATTTTATTCCTCAATATTATATACTACATTTGTCGATTTGAATGTGTAATTATTTATTTATTTTTATACAAATTAAGAATTATTATTTTTAAGTAAAATGTAAAAATATTTAATTATTTTAGAGAGACTGTATTTACTAAACTAAAAATGAATACATCAATTATAGACTGTAGAAAAAATATATAAAAAGATCTTTCTATATATAAATTTACACTCGTTGCATATACACATGGAAGTGGTTTTTGTAAGATACAGAATCAAAAATACTCGAAAAAGTGATAATTAGTTATAAATAAATATATATATATATGACTAAATTTACAAATTTTTTTGCAGGCTTGAGACACAATAATGATGGTGTGTTCCCTTTGATGAATACTCTCATCCAACATTATTCATCATAAACAAAAACAAATTTATTACCACATCAAACAAACAAATTGGATAATATTTCAAATCCATCTTTCCTTATAAGCTTCACTATATGTGTCTATATATATATATATATATACATATACACACACAAGTCGTAAGCAATGCATGCAAGGCTCGACGAAATTTCGATAGCGCAAAGGTATGTTATTTCGAAGCATAGTACTCAGAAACCTCGATTTTTTAGGGTTTGTTCATTTATGTTTTTTGAATTGTTTTTATACTACGTATTTTTTCGATAAAATAAATTTCCGGCTAATATATATTATATCTATAAAAAAAATTTATTAATAATATATAAATGCATATCATCGCAAAGTATTGCCAAAATATTATAAGATTAATTTGGTTAATATGCTAGTATACCTCAAAATTCATCGAACAACTTGATTTAGAGGTAATGATAATTTGGTTAGCATGGTGAATCAACGAGACTTTGTTTTTATACGTTTTAAACTCAATTTTTTAAAACTATTTACCATATATTTTTCTCTAGATTAACTATTTACATAATTAATACTCTCTCCGTCCCAGATACCGTGTCTGCTACACTGTATATACGGTATTTTAGGAGGGGTGTAATTAGTAGATAATTAAGAATGTATTAGTGAAAATAATTATCCTATAATATAAATAATTATAAATTAAGATAACTAATTAGTTTAATTAAAATTAAAAAAAAAAATTAAAAATTTAAAATGAGATTAAAGTGTGTAATCATTTTCCAAAAAAGGAAAGTGACATGATACGTGGGACGAACAGAAACAATAACGTGGACATGGTATTGGGACAGAGGAAGTATCAAATATTTTGAATTCATATTATTACTAATTTTAAAACTACAAAACACTTACAAAATATATTTTTGTGGTTTGTTTTATTTTTGTTTGTGTTTAAATTGTTTATTTACATTCTGATTTAAATATTATTTTTTATATGATGTTTTATAATATATATATATATATATATAATATTCTTTTATTGAGAACTATAGCCATTGAATAATTGGTAATTATATTATGGGAAATTTGAAGAAGTGAATATTAAGGATTGATTCTTAATAGAAACTAATTTCAATTTTTCTAAACTATAAAAGTACAATATCATGCATGTATCATTTTAAAAATAAATCACTTTATAAATTCACAGATTAAAACTACATTAGCCAAAAAAAACACCATATAAATTTTGTTTTCATCAAAAGTAAACAAACCCTAAAAACTTTTATTTTGAATTCGATTATACTATAGCACTACAAAAAAATAGTATATTTGTAACGGAATTCAGTTCCTACGGTGTACGCAACTAACGTAATTTCATCTCTATTTCTGTTTCTAATGTCATTAGTAACAGAAAAAAAATAAATTTAGGGATGAAAAAACCTCGTTACAAAAATGATATTTTCTATGCATATATATATATCATAATTAATGGTTTCCACTTCCACTGGGAATTGTACCATCACTAACTAGGAGTTAATACTGTAGATATATATAAATATATCTATAAATGTGTGTGAAAATTTGCAATTTCGTATATTGTTATTTTAAGTGTAATTTCATGCATAAATATTTGTATCATGTAAATTCAAAAAATTGCATGATTGCCACCTATAATTCAAGATTAAAAGAATATATCAATATATGTATATATATATATATCCTGACATTATCAAAATATGAACCCGAAAAATTACAAAAAACAAAACTATTAGATTTTCATTTTTTTTTTTAATTTGTAAATAACGCTATTTTAGTTTTACGTTTAATATATAATATTACTTTATTAGTCAACATTAAAAAAATATATTATTTTTTATATTATCAACATAATTTTTCATATTTTACATAAAAAAAAAAAAAAAAAAACCCTCAAACTAAAGCACTAAACAAAAACATCCTATATAGCTATAAAAATATATTTTATATATTTTATAAAATACTATATCTAATTAATTATTTAATGACGAGTACCCGATTACTTTTGGTGTAGAGTTTTACGAGTATATGAATATTGTAGTTTAATATATAGTTGGGTGTACATTTTTTGTATGTAATGATTTATTTGCCTCCGCATTTTAATTTAATGTAATGATATATATATATATATTAAAGATATTTGTGTTGTAAAGTGTTTTTTTTTTAAAAAAAAAAAAACTTTTCAAACAGACAAAGGAAATACATCGTATAGAATAGAATACACACAAAGTTAATTCTAAAAGCAATGTTTTATAAGATATTAGACAAAAATATAACCAATATATATTTAATGAAAGCTTAAATACTATGATTAAACACATACTACCTCCGTCCGACTCTAAAGGTTTCATTTACTTTTTGTGTGTTGATTTTTTAATATAAATTATTTTATGAAAATATAGTACCGAAAAAAACAAAAATACTTCTGTTAGTATCTTATAATACTATTATAATGGCATTTATGCAAAAGTTTATACAAATGGAATAATATATTTAATGTTAAGTACAATGATGCAAAAAATAAATTAAACCTTAAAGTCATATGGAGAGAGTATATCATACGGAAATATGTCAACATTAATAATTATAGTACATCAATTAATCTCATAAGTTTGATTTACAACAACAATATATAATCTCCATATATGCATATATATATATATATATATATGTTTAAATCCTTATTAATATTGAACTTTAGAATATATGTGCACATATATATAAACTACACATTTATCACTTAAATTCACTTAACACACATATACATATACATAAATATATATACTTACCATATTCATTACTTCCACATATGAATTTCTGAATGATTTGAAGAAGCAGCTGTTATACCCGTAAGATCATTTTCTTCTCTATCATCTTGTTTCTTCATTTCATCCTCAACAACCCTAATCGACTCCGAAACCGAAGCCTCATTCGTCGCCTTGCGACCCTCGTTGTCTTGACTGAGTTGGGAAGCCACAAATTTATCGAGCACTTGCCACTCGGTCACATGCCGGTTGGGGAAAAACGAGTAATCCGGGGTGGATCCCATGTCACCCTCTTGTGTCCGGTGATCTTCTTGTAGTCCTCCATAAGGAATCATGCTCGGATTCGAGTGTTGGATCGTGGGGCTTTCTAAACTTGGAAGTTGAAGAAATATGTTATTGTTAGGCACGCCGTATTGGAGCTCGAGCTCTTGCTTGCATGTGTAGTTGTTTGGATTATACATCCCGGAATTGGGACTTATGCGCGCTTGCGAGTCGATATCTGGCATGAATGTGACATGGTCGTCGTACCAACATAGCGAATCGTGCTCGCCATCTCTTTGTGTTGAGGGCAACTTCTTCTTGAATACCCTACAAACTACCCATCCTTCTTCCTAGTGTGTGGACATGTAGACAAATATTAGCGAAAATTCGATATAAATATGTTGATTCCAAATTCGCTCAAAATCAACAGCAACAACCAAACACTTATAATCATAAAAAAACTCAACAAAATATATACGTACAAAATATAAATTAGACATAAAAATGGCAAACAAAAGAATAAGAATTGGTTGGCTTTCGCCTTCGAATCGAACAAAACAAAAAAGAAATATTTGTTGGATCTTATATAATCTTTTTTTTTTGTAATATCTCGTCTAACAACTACTCAGAAGTAATAAGATTAAGATTTATTTCGACAAAAGCTAAAAAGACAATTATATACTAATTCTAAGGATTCAACAAAAAAAAACTACAATTTCGAGCGTACATCTTTGTGCAAAATTTATAATATAATTATAATTATATTATAAATTTTGTACGAACATATTTTAGTTCAGTAATTTATCATAATTTTCTTTTTGTTCTAAAAATTCAAAGATCGAACTAGGTACATGTAAGATTTTAGATAGAAATAAATAAATAAAATGTGATAACTTATCATATCAATATAAAACCATGCGAACACATAAGTTCATACTAGCCAAATTAGGGGTTATTATCATATGCTTCAAACTATGAACTTATGATCATATTAGGGTTTCAAAATGAAATGACAATTATCATCAACAACAAAATATGATATTTTAATTGCACAATCAAACTTAAACCAAATTTTAAAAATATATGTTTAAAGTTGTAACACTTGCCTGAGGAGTTCCATTTTCATTCGATTCGAGCCGATACTCGTGCATAATCCAGTCGGATTTTTGTCCATTCGGAGCTCGACCTTGGTAGAACACAAGAGTCTTTCTCATTCCAACCAGAGAATTATGTTTCGTATAAATGGCCTTATCTCGTCCGGTCGCTTTCCAAAATCCGGCCTTGGTTGCCCTATTTGTTCGAGTTCCGGTTGGGTATTTCTTGTCTTTATGGCTGAAGAAATACCACTCATTTTGTTCCTCACTTCCTATCCGGCAAAGTTCTTGAAGAATATTATTTGTTAGTACATATGATGAAGATGAAATCGAAAGAAATTAAAGAGGTGCACTAATATTTTCCGATCCAATTGTACCTTGAAGATCCCATGGCTCGATTTTGTAAAGATCGATATCTTTGATGACATCTAGATCGATTCTCTTGGAAGCGATCTTTTTTCGGAGATAGTAGTTGACTAATTCTTCGTCGGTGGGATGGAATCGAAATCCCGGAGGAACATGAGTGAAGGAATTCATGTTTTTTTGGACCTGTAATAGATATAGTCCCAACCATGTAAGAATGTTGATTGAAATGATGATTTTTGTTTACTTATATCTTCAACTTTGTTTCGATAGTAAACAATTCAAGTAAATATATACATATATGCTATATATAAACATCAATGTTAACATATGAATTGTATATAAAACATCGAATACAATAACTAATTTTCAAAATTCAGATCCAAAACTACTTGAAAATGTAAGTAATTTTATCATGTCGACTAGATATTAAACTTGATTTTGTACGAAATTACTAATACTATTATCCAATGTCATGTTTGTATTTGTTCTTCTATAAATTCATAGAATTAGCTACAAAACCCTAATAATGAACCATCATCTTCCTCCCTCCTCTCTCTCTCTCTCTATCTATCTATCTATCTCTCTCTCTCTCTCTCTATATATATATACACATGTGTGTGTGTATTTATGCAAATCATTGAAAGAAAAGAGAAGAACATACACACAGATGGTTTTTTGTCATTAGTAATTAATTCAGATCACGAAATCATAGCTGATGAATCGAGAATTTGATCAACACTAGAAAAACTGCATGCAAAAAATTAATTAAAGTAGCAATTAACAAAAGTGGAAAACGTGATCTTATATATTACTTGAAGATTCATATATGATATATATAAACATAATCTATATATCCATACAAGTATATTTGGTAAAACTACTCGAGTTTGCTTTTGCTTTGAGTCACAGAACGTGAGAAGACTCATTACACACACAAAAATAAAAAAGAACAAAAATATATATAGAGAGATCATGGCTGTGCCTAGCTCCACTACCAAAAGTAATAATAATCATAATAATTATTATATATATTCGAAAGAGGAAAAAATATTAATGCTGTGCATATATGTGTGTTTGTAAAAAAAATCGAAGATATATATATATATATATATAAACATACAAATTAGTTCTTGAAAATGATCAATGTTTGGTTATATATGTATATATATATATTTATATATGTGTGTGTTATTGATGAATATTTGCATACATATATATATATATATAATATGCACACACACAAACTATAAACTACAAGAACAAATATTGACATTAAAAAAAAATAAAAATGAAATTGTGAGCAATGATTTGAATGAGTGTTTGGAAGTAAATTGAAGATGAAAGATTGTAATTAACCTGCTGAAATTATCTATATTGTCGATCAAGAAGGGAAGGTAGATCTGATCTGATCTGATGGATTTGGATGCATCGAATATTTTAAAAAACCTAATTTTGATTATTATTATTATTATTATTAATTGGGATTAATTGACGACCTTCTTCTTCGTTCCTCTCCTCGGAAATTGAACTGACTTTTTGACCTGACCAAAAAGAATTTTAATGATCAGATCCCGAGGCTAGCGAGCTCAATCAGCAGACGATCATGGTGAAGATGACGATGAATTAATTAAGAACAAATAACGTATATATATATATATATATAGCCATCGATGATGATCAGAAGAGAACAAATTGCAGGAAAGATCGAAATGAAAGAAAGGAAATTACTAACTGATGATCAGAAAAATTGAATCTTTTTCTTCTTCTTCTTCTTCAATTCTGCAAAACCCTAACCAGGTACCTACTACCTACGACCTGAAATTGTTTTGAATACATATATATATATATATGTGTCTTGAATTGCAGGAAAGATCGAAATGAAAGCGCGGCGGAGAAAGTGGTGGCGGTGGATCGGAGTACTAGTAGCTACTCCACCCTCCTGAATTTCCTCCACCAGCAACTGACGGTGACTCCTCTCACCCTTCTCCTTAATTCTCTATCTTCTAAGAAGCTGCCTCTCTCTTTCTCTCTCTAGATTATATTAAAATGGGGGGTGTCTCTGTGTGTATGTATATGTTGTATCTATATATATAAAGATGAGGAAGACGATGACGTCATCTTGGTAGATTTGGTGACGTCATCTGCTAGGGCTTCTTAAAGAAGACCGCATGCGCCACCAATCGCATTCTCTCATTTAATTTAATTTAATAATATTAATATTAATAATTATTATTATTTATTATAATAGTACGTCTACTGTAATTAATTGTCTCATTAATTATGGATTTATTTATTAGTTATGTTTTTTAATTATAGTTTTGTAATTTTCTTTTTCTTTATTTTTTCCTATAAAGTAGTTTTAATACATTAAACATTTTTTATTTAAAAATCTATCTGAATTTAAATTTTATTAATTTTTCAAAACAAATTCTATATATTATTGGAGATTAGATCATGTTTGCATTGTAAATTTATAATTAAGTAAAAAATTTTAAGTTAAATTAAATGTGTTATTAGATAATATATTTTTTAATTACATATTATCATTATTATTCAATAGTTCAATTTTCTCATTGAATATTAGATTCAATTTGGTTTATTACGGGTGTGTTTGTTTGGGGGATTGAATTTTCAATCCTCTATTCATCTTATTTCCCCCTCCCCCAAAATATATAAAATCAAACGCCTATTTTTTATTTTTTATATTATACTAAAAATTAATTTTACATTTAAAACATCATACCAACACTTATTTATATCACAATATACAACTATTCAAATTTAAAATGCAAGATTAATTCCATTAAGTGAATATATATATATATTGAACCATATTGTACATTTATTAAACTATACAATATAAATTTGTTAGAATTACACAAATAATAATAATAATAATAATAATAATAATAATAATAATAATAATAATAATAATAATAATAATAATAATTTACGTACAAAATATCATAAATCGTATAATTCAATAGTGTTTTATAATATGATTTAAATCATATTGTTCTTATTATACATTAATAAATCTTGATTTATAATTTCATTTCTCGTCTTATTCCTAATTTAGGGATTTGAAAACCCCTTTATTAATTTTTGCATTTTTACCATGTCTTCAATTAAATTCATTTAGACAAATAGAATTGAAAATTTCAGCATTTCTTAACAAATATATATATATATAAGTCCGCAAAATTTCTACAAAAACATATTATTTCAAAATTCACTATAATCACATTTTAATTAAATTTAATTACAAGCATTTTCTTGATTATACACCCAAAGAAACATTAATTATTTAATTGTCTCTTTCTTGGTGACACTCCAACTACTGATAATGAATGTGATATATATATATATTTATTTATTTATTATGTCCAAATACAACACATTAAAGACATGATATAAATTTGTTATCAAGTTTTCGTGGCCACAATTACTTAACTTATGATATTTTCAATCTCCATCAAGACATGATATAGAAATAATTAATAAGACAAATGTATTTATACATATATACACATTTCACTTTGCACATATATATTTTCTTTTTACCAATTTTCAGTTTGTAATAAGACATGTGTCTTTATATACACATCCATATATATATATTACCACATCCCTTATGAAAGAAAAATAATACTCCTCCCGTAAGTAAATATTAATTTGTTTTTTGCACGTAGTTTTTAAAATATTAGTATTATATTATGATATAGTAGGAATAAAGTAGAAATGACTAAAATAAGTCTGTGTGATATAAAGGTAATGACATTTGTGTAATACATTGTAAATTGTAAGGATATTTGTAATGTTAGATAGATAGTACACTTACTAAAAAAAATGGATACTTTGTTATGGGACGGACTAAAATGAAATAAATACTTTATTATGGGACGGAGAGAGTAATAAACTCCAATTTTATTTTATTTTTTAATACATATTTTAACGCTGTATGTATATTTTTTGGTATTTTTATTATCTTTTATAGGTAAAAAAAAAAAAAGAAAACAAAAGAATTTTTTTTTTTTTTTTAACTAAAATCAAAGTTGACTATATTTTTGAATGATAGACAAAAAAAAAATTATTTTGTTTTACAGTGCATGGATATCAATTTTAAAAACCTTTGTTAAAGCGAGCTGAAATTTAAAATAGAGGTTTTTCAAATTTTATAAATTTGAAAAAAAAATTATAAAAAATTAGGTATTTAAACTGTTGTTTTATGAAAAAAATTATGTTGTGTATATATGATATTTTTTAGAAAAATATATATTGACAATAAATAGTGTCACAACATTAAAAAAATATATGTATAAAGAAATATGGTCCTATAAAACAAATTATTTAGCATTTAAGTTAATAGAACAGAAATGTATGCTTTGCTCGTTTGATTATCTTTTATCTTTTTTTTTTATTTTTATTTTTATTTTAAAATATCATATTCAAATGAAAATCAAATTTCTTATATTCCCAATATTTTAGTTCTAGGACAATAAGATTAAAATGAATATGTTTTTCATGTTTTAATTGTGACATTTGTTATACATTTTGTTTGAATACCATTGCAAGTCATTGTCTAAAATGAATCCCTCTTATGTGTTTGTTTGTAAAAATATCAAATTAAATGCATTTTTTAAAAAATAAAAAAAAATAAAAATTTATACTTTATTTACTCGAAACAAATATTACAAAATTAAATTAAACTAAATTAGATATATTTACTCGAAAAGAAATTACAAATTAATAATACTAACATTATATTCTCAATTTGAATCCGATAATGTTGTTTCCTTTAACCCTCTTTCACTTTCTCTTCCTCCGATTTTCAATTTAAAAATCAAATAATTTGAGAAACCGGCAAATTTCACATTCCGGCGAGGAAGGCTCGGCGGCTGATGTAGAATAAGCCACCGGCCGGCGGCTGCCAGGCTCAACATACTTCACTTTTGCGGGTAATTGAGGCATGGGGTCGATTTCAGGCTCAAAATCATCAAAATGATCTTGTAATTTATCCGTCATTTCATCCACCTACGTATAATAATATAAAATACATGTGAAAATAATTTGTAGATAAATTCAGAAATTGCATATTATTAATAATTGATTGCAAATACCTTTTAATTTACCATATATTATACAAATATCATTATTTTTATATTGTAAGATATTAATAAAATTAGTTTAGTTATTTTATATTTATTTCTATTATATTTTAATATAATATTAATATTTCGAAAATTTCATCAAAAAAGTAATCGATAGATAAATATTTGAGGAAGTATATAATTTTCAGTGTTAAATTTTTCTATTATAAGTTGCAATATATTCACTCCGTCCCATAAGTAAATATTCATTTGTTTTTTGCACGTAGTTTTAATAATATTAGTATTATATTGAAATACAGTAGGAATAAAGTAAAAATGACTAAAATACTTTATTAGTACGTGTGATATAAATGTAATGGTATTTGTGTAATATATTGTAAGGTGTAAGAATATTTGTAACGTTAAATAGATAGTACAATTACTTAAAAAAAAAAAATATTTTGTTATGGGACGGACTAAAATGAAAAAATAAATATTTTGTTACTGGATGGAGGGAAGAGGGAATGTTTTTTTTTTTTTTTAAATAATAATAAATATTTAGCTTGATTTAAAAATAAATAAATAAATAAATTGAAATATATGTTTGTATACCTTGTCCATCATATGTGAAACTTTCTTGGCACCTTCTGCAGTATCCTCAGCCAAATCTTCCACAAAACTAACCATCCTTCTCAGCCCTCCCGCCGGCAGCGACTCCTCCAAATCCTCCGCCGCCTTCTCCACTTCCTCCGCCGCTTCCACCACCCTCTCCGCTATTCTCTCCACCACCTCCGCCGCGCTGTCAACCTTCTCTGATAACAACAACAGTTTTTTAATCACCCACGGCGCCGCCACCACAAATCCTGCAATTCCAGGTACCCTACCAAAAACCAAACAAAAAAAAATTAAACCTAACAGAAATCGCAATTACTGTAGAAACGCGCTTTTACGGTTATTTGTGCTAAAGTCGCTTTTCACCAACCATGGATTCTGCAAAATCGCTGCTGGTATGTCAAGGATATCTGGTAGGGATGGGAAGGAACCGAAGAGACTGGAAACGGCGTCGTCTTTAGAGGCATTTATCCTCGCGGTTGAACACCTGTTCGTTGTTCGGAATCAAATGAAAGGATTTGAAACCGAAAGTAATTAAATTAAAAGTTTTCCCCTACCTACCTTGGGTTTGGTTTTGTGAAAGTTCTGAGCCGATCGGAATATGTCTGCAGATGCCTGAAATTGCTTCCGCCGCTGTAGTACGCCGGGAATCGAGCTCCGATTTGCGGTGTTGGACTTGAGGAATTGGAAATGGAGTGGTGATTGATGTGCAGAAGAAGGATGGAGGTAGACGAAGATGATGACGTGGCCATGACTGATTATCAATGGCTGCCTGCCTGCCTTTGACCAGCTGTAGCTCTTTATTTATATAAAGCAATAATATTATTTATTTTAAAAATACTTTTTTTATTTATTCAACATATATAAATCATAAAAATGAAGAAACACGTGTTGTCTGCGTGCTAATTTTTTTTAAGAATTAAGGCCCAACAAATATTGATAATGGGTAAAAGTGAGAATGGGCCTAGGCCCATTAAGAAAAACAAATAAATAAATACTCCATTAATTATTATTTACATGTTTTTAATGAGATCAGCTATTTTTGTCCCTTCGTCGAAAATGTCGTCAGGCAAAAACTTTGTTGGAATTTTACCTCTTATTCAATCATTACATCACCTATTATTCTAATCAAATTTTGTTTAATGAAATTTAGTAATAATTAATTAAAAAATACAAAAAAAATTAAAATTAATTAATTAATTAATTAATTGTTTCAACTACATAATAGGCTCAGCTATACCTTCTTCTTCTTCCCCTCCTGCCCTCCTCCCCCTCTCTCTCTCCTCGCCGTCCCTCTCTCTCTCCATCAAATACTCCGCCGAAGCGCCGCCGCCGGCTCTTCTTTCTACAACCAGTCTTCCGGCAGCAACGCCCTTTCAAGGTTCACCACCGGCGTCCGCCATGGAGCCGGGGGGCTTCCTCCGCCGCCACTTCTTACTGAGAACACACCCACACCTCATCTCCGGCGGCGGCGGCGCCGCTGTCATGAAGTAAGATCATCACAGTTACTAGGGAAGGAAGGAAGGAAAAAAGTCGCGTAATCGGAAGTTCATTTTCCGGTATGTCTGGTTCGAATGCCTCGGCGGCGGAGTCGACCTCCGACGAGACGGCGGCTAAGGTGCACAAGAGGTACGAAGGTCTGGTGATGGTACGGACCAGAGCCATCAAAGGCAAAGGCGCGTGGTATTGGGCCCACCTGGAGCCGATCCTCGTCCACCACTCCGACTCCGGCGTGCCCAAGGCGGTCAAGCTCAAGTGCACCCTCTGCGCCGCCGTCTTCTCCGCCTCCAACCCGTCGCGCACCGCCTCCGAGCACCTCAAGCGCGGCACGTGCCCCAACATCACCGCCTTACCCACACCCATTTCCTCTGTCCCTTCATCCTCCTCCTTCTCCGCCGCCCCTTCTCCCTACCGCCACCGCAAGCGCGGCGGCCGCCGTCGCAACGGAGACAATCCGGACCCCACCGGAACAACCACAACGACAACAGCAACGACGTCGTTTTCGTCTCACCACGTTGTCCAACCTCTCTCCATCGTCGAACCTTCTAGATTCCCTGTCGATTTATCCTCCCCACCCACCGTCTCCGTCGGCGGCGGCGGCTGTGGCTTCTACGGCCACCACCACCGCCCGCCGTCGCAGCTCATGCTCTCCGGCGGGAAAGAAGATTTGGGGCCTTTAGCACAGCTGGAAGACAGCGTAAAGCGTCTCAAAAGCCCTAAACCCTCTCCCCGCCCTCCGCCATTAACAAAACCTCAAATCGATTCCGCCCTAAATTTCCTCGCAGATTGGGCCTACGATTGCTGCGGGTCAATCTCCATCTCGGTCCTCGACCATCCCAAATTCAAATCCTTCCTCAACCACGTCGGACTTCCCCCAATTCCGCGGGGAGAGTTCCTCGGCCCTCGATTGGACGCCAAATACGCCGCCGCCAAAGCCGACTCCGACGCCAAAATCCGCGACGCCATGTTCTTCCAGATTTCATCCGACGGCTGGAAATCATCCAAGCATCACGGCGACGGCGACGGCGGCTGCGTCAATTTATCCGTCAATCTCCCCAACGGAGCCACCGTTTTTCGCAAAGCCGTCTTCACCAACGGCTACGCCACCTCCAAACTCGCCGAGGAGCTTCTATCGGAAACCATTTCAGAAATCTCCGGCGGCAATTTGCAGCAATGCGCCGGCGTCGTCTCCGACAAGTTCAATTCGACGGCGTTAAAAAACCTCGAGAATCTCCACCATTGGATGGTTAACCTCTCCTGCCAGCGCCGCGGCTTCGCGGCCCTAATCAAGGACTTCGGCAAGGAGCTTCAATTGTTCCGTACCGCCGCCGATAACTGCCTCAAGCTCGCAACCTTCGTCAACAACCACCCCCAAATCCGCCGGACTTTCTACAAGTATCAAATGCAGGAATACGGCCATGGCAGATTGTTAAGAGCCGACGCCCCATTTCAAACCTCCGATTTCTCCATAGTCGACGACGTCCTCGCCTGCGCCCGCGCTCTGCAGCTCGTGCTCCTCGACGAGTCATACAAAGCCGTGTCGAAGGAGGAGACGGTCGCGAAAGAACTCGAAGAAATGATGCGGAATCCGTGCTTCTGGAACGAGCTCGAAGCCGTGCATTCTCTCGTCAAACTAGTTAAGACAACGGCGCAAGACGTTGAGATCGAGAAGCCACGAATCGGGCGGTGTCTGCCGCTCTGGGACGAGATGAGGACGAAGACGAAAGACTGGTGCTCGAAGTTCGGAATTCCCGAACCATCTGTCGAGAAGGTGCTCGACAAACGGTTCGCCAAGAATTACCATCCGGCGTGGGCTGCCGCGTTCATCCTCGATCCGTTGTATCTAATCCGCGACAGCAGCGGGAAGTATCTGCCGCCGTTCAAATGCTTGACAACCGAGCAAGAGAAGGACGTCGACAAGCTCATAACCCGGCTTGTTTCGAAAGACGAGGCGCACATTGCGCTGATGGAGCTCATGAAGTGGCGCACCGAAGGGCTCGATCCCGTTTACGCGCAGGCTGTGCAGCTGAAGCAGCAGGATCCGAGCACCGGGAAAATGAAGGTCGCGAATTCGCAGAGCAGCCGCCTCGTCTGGGAAACGTATCTAACCGAGTTCAAGTTGCTGGCGAAGGTCGCCGTGAGGCTGATCTTTCTCCACGCGACGTCGTGCGGATTCAAATGCGACGGTTCTGTCGCGAGATGGATTGGCGGTTCGCGGCTGGGGAGGGATCGCGCGCAGAAGTTGTTGTTTGTTTACGCGCATTCGAAGACGGAGAAACGGGAAGTTTCCAGCGATGGAGACAAGGATAACGGTGGCGAGCTCTTTGCCTTGCCGAACGGCGAGGACGATGTCCTCAATGAAGTTTTTGTCGATGCGTCGTCTGTGTAAGTTTTACCCTTTTTCGAACCGTATATATCTATATATATATATTCATATTTTTGTTTGCGCGTTCGTTTGTTTTTCGCGAATTTGTTCGTTATAGCGACGTAGTACTAAACGAATGCGTGCTCGACCTAACACGATTGTTTTAACTTAGTTCCATCGAAGAATTTTGAAATCCGGCGATGAAGATGATCCTTTTTCCTCGACTCGATTATACTACAACTTATGTCTTGCTTCTATGATTAACTTTTGCGTTGTCATTGCTTTAAATCGAGTGCCGCATCGGGCCATGTAATGATGGAGCTCGTTATAGTCAAAAGGATCAATCTTTCTTACCATACGGATTCGGGAAAATAATCTTTTATTACCTAGTAAGGGTTGTCTTAGCGCGTCTAGAATGTTCCCTTTTTCTCAGGCTCTTCTCCTGTTCCCTCTATTCGATAGCGAAAGCTCGCCACTTTCCTCCCGACATAAGCATTTGACTCGTCGAGAAGGCTAGAGGTTTAATTTCAAACGATTCCCCATCGTCGCAACAACCTAGGAAAGACTACTGTTTTGATCGGATTTGTTGCAACATCGATGAGCTTGGGGCGCGGCCCTATTTTTATTTGGACTATTATGTCCCTTTACGAAAGAGCCGCGCCCCACCACGAATGAAGTAGTGGAAGTCTATTAGAAGTGTTTTGGTTGTTGCGGGGAGAGGGAAAAAAAGCGAATGCCCTTGATTCAAAATCATGTGTATGGGCCCGGGCTTGTCCGGGCTCGGTTCAGTTCAGCTCGACTCGGCTCGACTCGTTTTTAAGTATTATTTTTATACCCTTGACGTTGAAAGCCTGGGTGTCCGTTGGATGTGATGCTCGGAATCATTGTAGGAAAAAGATTGCGTGAGGGGCCAAAGGCGGACAAGATTGTCGACATGAAGCGATGCAAAAAAAAGAGATAGGGCGACGGGGATTTTGTACCCGAGTCGGATGATTCGCGCCTTCTAGATCGCTTGGATGGATGATATTTACATTACCGTATGTTATATTGAATGAAATAATTTTTTTAAAAAAATATTTAAATGCATTATTTTTCTTATAAAATTATTAGTAATATTATTTATTTTAAAATAATAAAATAATATGATAGTTTATTATTATTAATTAATTAAATTTTATTATTTTGTTTTAAATCAAATGGATCATTTGTCTGAGAGGAAAGGAGTATTTTTTGTTATAGTAAATGTATCATTATATTGATACCAAAATATTTTAAATTTTATATAAAGTACAAATATGCTATTAAATATATTATTATTTTATACATGTATGGTAAAAAAACAAATTTATTAAAATACTCTTACACATATTATTTACTCATAAAATACAATTAATATTTTAAAGTAAATATGATTAATATTACTTGAGGGTAATAAAATAATGCATTAGTACAAGGCATGCATGCATACACATCACTCTGGATACTCTCTCTATATATATATATCTCTATATATATATATAGAGAGAGAGAGAGAGAGAGAGAGAGAGAGAGAGAGAGAGAGAGAGAGAGAGAGAGAGAGAGAGAGAGAGAGAGTGGGGATTAATTAAGTTAAAATGATTAATAATCCATCCATCATAAAAAAAGACAGTGGAGGGTGAAAACAATCAATTAGTGCTTTAAACTTTTTGGTAGAGAGAGAGAGAGAGTGAAATATATATATATATATATAATGAGAGTAGAATTAGTGTATGATTATGTATATAATATTTAATTAAATAATTTATAAATTTTGTAATTAGTGTATTAGTGGAGAGACAAAGTGTTGTCGGTAGGGATTAGTTACATGCTTTGTCAAACTGAAAGAGGCTTTACCCAATACTGACTGCCCACCTACCCTCCCCACCCCTCCCCCCCACCCCCCAAATTATTTATTTTTATTTATCATTTCACAAGTTTGTACATTTCACGTGTATGCATTTAAGGGCTTATTATTACTATGATTCTGAATTTGTGTTATTATTATTATTATTATTGAAATTTATAGGGATATAAGTATTTATTAATGTGATCAATACTTTTATAGTACTTTCGTCCGACTTCAAGGGTCTCATTTATTTTTTGCGTATTAATTTTTAAATATTAATTATTATATAAAAATTGAGATTATTGTCTTATAATACTAATCAAATAATATTTGTACAGACAAATTATACAAATATAAAGATATTTTTAATGTTACTTACAATACAATGACGTAAACGGTAGTATGTGACCCTTAAAAGCGGACAGTTTTTTTATTAAAATTTATTTAAATATTATTATTTACAATATATTAAAGTATATCAATTTTGTATATATATAAGTATCTAACTATTATTCAATTAAAAAAACAATAAAACTCAAAACTTAATTTAAAAATATGGGACGAACATGTCTTTAATATAATTATAGTTTCTTATGTAAATAAAGATCATGAAATTTTGATATATGGATATTATTTCATTTCTGAAGTATTTGTATTATTTTTTTTTAATTGTTTTTAGATATGAATTTTTAAAATAATATTTAAAAGTTATTACTATAAATTTATTATTTCCAATTATAGTCAATTTGTTGACAATATATAAAAGGTACTGATTAAAAATACTCTTTCCCCTTAGCTTGGCTGTTGAAGCTTATTTTTACCAAAGTAAATTTATACTCTTTTATATGTTAATCATTTGTCTTTTATGTGAAAATTTAAAATATTAATCAATATATAAAAGTAATATATTATTGTTAAGTAGAATTATAAATGTATTATATTTAGAAAAAGAAAAATAAAAAATAAAAATAAATTACGAAGGACGACCAAATAAGAAAAAAATAAATATATATTTTTATAATATATTATTATTATTATTATTATTATTATTATGCTGGTAAACAACTTTAATGATCACAATTGTACATTACAACCACCCATCATTAGTTAAACATTAATCATTCAATTAATTAATTAATTCCCCTATTATAACATAATTATATGTATATACTGCGATTATTTATATTGTGTTATATTTTAGAAAATAAATTTTTTTAAAAAAAAGCCTATATATATTTTTATAATTTTCAATAAATAACAAAAAAATAATAAAAGTACATTAGTATTTATTTTTTTCCTTATTATTCCCTTTATAATCCTACGGGTTTGCTTGTTAATTAATAAAATTAATTTAAGTAATTATAAAAATACTGTAGGGTCACATGATGTATAAATCCAATAGTTTCCTGTTTTTTGGGCTGTAGAAGAAATCTGACATGACGATAATTAATGCTACTAATCTTTTTTTTTTTTTTTTTTTTTTCCATTTATCTAAATTTTTACACATATATATATATTGTTTTTGTTCATGCTGATTTTTTTTTTAAAAAAAAATTATAGATTGAAAGACGAGATAGATGGCAATAATTTTTAGTGTAGATAGCATATACTCGGTGAAATAAGAGTGTAGATTTGTATATTTTTAAAATTGATGTTTTATAAAAATATATCTAATGTTTTATAAAGTATATATTATGTTTAATAAAAATATATTTGATATAAATTTAGTATACATAATAATAGTGCACACACATTATACAATTAATCTCATGTATGTTATTGTATATAATTGTTCACATATCATATGTCACGATTAATTTCAACTTATAAGATATATATATTAACATAAAATAAATACATTGTATGAACAAGCCTCAATTTGTACAATATATGTTGTTTTAGTTTCAATCATGCATTTAAAGTAAATGTTTTAATATATATTAGGTATAAAAAAATTTTGTTAATAATATAAAAAATAATATTTTGTATTGATTTGTTATTTTTGTGAGTATGCAAAATATATATATATATTGTATTAATAAATGTAGTATATTTTTAATAATATTTATGACAAACTGTGAACAAACCCTAAATTGAACTTAAAAGATTATCGGTATTTAATAGTGAGCTAATGTTAAAATTAATTCTTTTAAAACACACATAATTGTATTCAATTTATCCATGGTATTGATTAGACCAACAAAATAGTTTAGTATTTTCTAATAAATTTTATTATTCAATTCAACTAGTTTAGACATAGACTTTTAAAGTATTGAAAAAAAAATAAAGAATAGTAAAAAGAAACATATTTAATGTAATATTTTTTTAACATATATTTGCAAAGATCATACAGAATTTTTACGTAAAAATTAACAAAATAAAATAAATAAAATTGTATTATTATTAATGAGATGGGATAGGAATAATTTAATAATTAGGTGAAATTAAAGTGAATGTAGGTATAGTTGGGGTGGGGGTGGGGGTGGGGGCATTCACAGCTATATTACATACCCTTTACATAAAGTATATGAAATCATTAGTACAATTATTGAATACCCTTTATAGTGCTTTTTTACTATTTATTTGATACTGATAGATGCACAAATAAAATCACAATATTATTTTATTCTAAATAAGCCACACAACAAAATCACTTTATTGCTATATATGCATAATTAAATAAATAATCTATATTCTTTCATTCATATAATGTACAATCTTGAGAGTTTTGTATAATTATAACAAAATTATTTTAAAAAATACTAAAAAAAAAAAAACATAAAATGAACACATATATATGATATATCTAAGGGTCTATCTATATTGAATTATTGATCATAGTAAAAAATTTAACAAGAATCACATCCATCAAAATAATAAACATCAATAGACCCTACCAATTTGTATGTAAACCTCACATAGTAAAAAATTCTAAATACATCCCAACACATAGGGATAACCATTTTGAATATATATACCTATAAATGAAAAATTAAATCTTCAAAAAATAAAGAACCTGATTTTCATCAAGAATTGCAATTAGGGCTCCAAAATATGCAAAGACATCATCAAATCACATCTCACCGTTGTCTCAAAACAATCAGAAGTTTCTTCAATACATGAGAACTGAAACAAGGGGCCAGAATCGAAGGCGAAGGCAGACACCGTTACAAAGTGAATCGTAACCTGCAATGGACTTCAGAAATATACGAAAAAAATAAAATAAAAAGAAAAAAAGGAAGAAGAAGAGGCTACATACAAACTGTGGATTGCTCGACAACCCTCAGCCGGATAAATTACAACAAAGTGACTGACTGCCGCATTTTACTGGGCAGGGGCAGGGGCAGGGGCATGGGAAGTTCGATATATGGAAGAAGCATGAAAAAAAAAAAGTGGGAAGTATTAACATTCCATTATGTTCTATGGATTCGCGACTCTGCTCTGAAAGCCAGTCGCTGTAAAATTGCATACCCAGCTTCAACAGTAATAGGGGCATCTAGATCTGAAGATCGTCCAGGGATAATTCATTTGCAGTGATCATCTTCAACTTCTGCAACGAGAAATAAATAATAAACAGTAAAAACACACCGGATGATATTCCCAATGATTCAAGAATATTTTTTTTGGGTTTATTATGGAGTGGAGGCACCCTCAACAATCTCTAATTTGTATTTGTTTCTCCATCTTCGTATTCTTAAATTATCGAATGTTTCTTAACACCTGCAAAACTACGGTCTAAAATGTATTACACTGTAATGCTGCCATCAGCATCTTTCGACTTCTATTTTATATTATCATTCAGTGTTTTTGTGTCACTTAAGTAAAGGTTCAACAATTTAAATTTGTGTCAACCTCTTGCAATGAAAAATGTATTACTGTTAGAGAGAAATAAATAAATAAAATAGAAATATGTATTATACCGTGATAAACTGTGGGGGATCATCCAGACTTGATGAGCCGAGAACAATTTCTCGATTCAACTTTGTTGATAATTTATGGCAAACTCTTAGCTGCACAAAAACCAATTTCAGAGATTTGCGAAGAGATGATATGCAAGAGAGAGAGAGAGGGAGAGGGAAAGGTAATTTACAAATAATACCTCGGATCGTGTTGCTCCACCAACAATAAACACAAAAATCCTCTGACCCATCTTCTTGAAATCGCTGGATGCGTGCCTTAGAATTGAATCACTACAGATAACCAATATGTGTAAAGATAAGTTACCTTTCGAGAATCACAGGTATAAAGCTCAATTAGGCCTAACATGATAGCCCCCGGTAATATGATTCAAAGACATCGAGGAATATATTGAAATTTAAATTATCTCTGAGCCAGGAGAAACACTATGAAAGAAGAAAGACCAACAGGAAAAATCTGGCATGATTCGAAGAGGTCTTCAAAAAGAAAGAATGTACAGTATAGCAGCCCCATGGACAAATGGTGTAATGGGGGAGGGTGGGGGAGGAGGGGCAAGAACCACAATATATATAACACATTCAAAAACAGAAATTAATATTCACATAATACCTTGAGTAGCCATCATCAGAATTTCGAGGGCGAGCCCATGTTGCTCGTCTTTGTCGCATTGAATGTGGAGCGGGTGCATCATGAGCCATACTTACAGAAGCTGAATGAGACTTTCCATGATAAGTTGGACTGGGTTCATTCATACATGGATAGTCATTCTTCGGCAGTTCACCTTTACTAAGTTTTTCAATTAGCTCCTGGAAAGCAACATACATCAACATAGAGATAATTTCCAAGTTTCCTAAATTAAAGTCAAACGAATAAAATATAGAATTCTCACAGTAAACTTCGTCATTATCTTACTAGGGTAAGTTAAAATGGTGTCTACAGTTTACCCTTCCCTTCCTATTTTATTAGGCGTGGATATCTTTGTCAATTGAAACATATATCCATTCAGTTCCCATTTAGTGCTGTAAACGGTGACATAATCATCACACACAGAATCACATTATATGCATGTTCTACATCATAAAAGCAGCAAAAAATTAAGGCACCTCTATTATGGGGTAAAAACGAGATAATTGCCATGTCACTTCTTCACCAGGCCTATCTTTTCGAGCAGCGTGCTTTTTCTGAAATAGATATAACCAAAAAGAAAAAAATGAGTGCCCGAAGCATGAGCAGTTCTGAATACAAAAATCATTTTGGTAATGGATAGTTTACCTTGTGCACATCAAACTTGAGAGAAAATGGCACAATTGAGCTCTTTTTGGCATCGGATAATGCTTCTAGAAGTTTCATATTATAAACAGCAGTCCTGTCTTCTGGTGGGAGTCTAGCCAACTACAACACACGCAACAAGATGATACTTATATCACAATCACGACGACTCGTTTCTAACTCAAATAGCTTAATTTAAAATAATAAATAAAAAACCAATTAATTCCTAGAACCTTTTTCAGTTTTTGCTTTGTGTTCTTTGGTGAGCAGTGGTTTACATTCCCTAATTATTTTAAATCATACAAATTAACAACATGCTTTAACGCAGTGTAATAAACCTTGCACCTTGTAAAATGGCGAATAAAAGTTTTGAAGATTTTACGCACGTGTGCCATAAACTATGAACCTAAGGTACACAAGTAGTAAAGAGATGAAACAGAGTGATGGGTGAGATATCAAGTGGAATTAAAAGAGGGGAATTTGAGTGTTGATTATGGAGGAATATCCAATCAGAATATTTAGGCAGACACCATTATCATCAAATCTCTAATTATCTAACACAAGTGGCTCCTCAATGCTGTAAGATTAGTTTAGGACTCAACTCAGCGCGCCGGAGCCTTATTTCACAGATGCAAAGTGATGATGATACACACTCCATGAGTAGCATTAAGAAACAGCACTAACCTCCATTAATTTTGAGATTTTATCATCCTCGAACTTCTCAGGATATATAGCTGCATAAATCATCAATAATCGCAATTTATTCTCACGAGATACATCCTGCAGAAATGATTAATTATACATTAATACGTTAGCAGGTATACATCCTGATATTTTATAGACAAAAAGAAAAATCTGCACCTCTTTCAATCTGAGAAAATTGATAAGATCTTTGGTTCCTGCATCTCCAAAAACAAGATCTTGTTCCAGCTGCCCAACTTCTTTAAGCCCCAAGTCCCTGATAATTCTGTTAATTTTCCCAGCAATCTAGAGAGAGATGGGGGAAAAACAGCAAAAATAAATAAATAAAAATAAAATAATAATATATGAAAAATTGTCAGACAACAAGATCATAGTTGTTGCTCATAGTTTAAAATAATCCTCACAGAAATCAGTGTAAGCTTTCTATTTATAGGCTAGAAACTAGAAATCAACCACAAGGAAATCAGTGTAAAAAACCCTTACTGATAATTGACGCCAGTAATATTATTGTAAGTCAATACAGAAAGTAAAATAACTAAAATTGCAGATTTAAATTTATAATACTCACATCAACATGAAGGGAGAGCTTCTCAATTTGTTCACTGTATTGAGGCAGAGCTTGAACCATCTTTTGCAAGTCCCGAGTTGACAATTCCCCACCCTCTCTGCAGGTATTGCTTATATTAAAGAGACATGAAAGAAATGATACAAAATTACCGCACCCACAAGTAGGATCCAAAATCAACCTTGAACCGTGGATTTTTGCAGCTTTATTTTTTGACACAAAGTTCGTCATCTTGTCATGCAACCGTACACTGGCCTGACATTGTAAAGCATAGTCAAAGTATATTAAATGGAGAATAATTGTTTGTAAATTCACAAATTAAAAATTTTCTTTATACATCAGCTATATGTGCATGGCGGAGCTCAAGCCAAATAGGGTCATGATCCTCCAAAAGAACCTCCTTCTTCTCAACTCCACCAATTTTGTTTGGAACCTGAATAATATTATTCATTAAAGAAGTTGATGACTTTCCAGCGGAGAAGCAGGCCATGAAAACTCAAAGGCAATACCTCATGGACATATTTATTCCCTTCCATATTTAGTAAGTCATGGCACATGGCATCATATGTCCATTCATGTATAATTGGAGCAATCTGCACCAAAAAAATTTCTATGCTTACATGATTGAATTAACCAGTATGAATTTCTATGAAGATTTTGGTACTTTCATAGACAAAGAAGAGAGCTATTAACCTGGTCTATTGATCTATCTAGAATAAGAAGCTCGCATGTCTCTGACTGGGGGAAGTTAGGGAGGTTGGTTTTATATTTCATAAGAGAGTTCCAAACAGAAGCAGCAAGCTTGGTGGGTATTAGATCACGGAATGTCGTCATTGTAGTAGGATCAAGGGATTTGGCAGCTCGGTAGCGTACAAATGGAAATTCCTGCAGCATGAATATTTAGGATGTTTTTACCATGCCATTACTTAAAGATTTTGGACAAAGTCAGATCATTGACACAAACCCTCAAAGATGCAAACACTGTAGCTATGCGGTTGGCCATCACATTCAAACAAGCATCACCTTTGCTTGAGCCTTCTTCATCTCCAAAGAGTTCTTCAAGGGCTCTTTCATTATCAGTCACAAAACCCTATAGTTATAGCTTAAAGTAAGATAATTCATTCCACAAGGGTTAAGAAGCACATAGTACTTTTAATTGCATTTTCACGCATACACATCCACTGATGAATACAATAAAAGCATTCTCACATTTCACTATTACATCTAGCATGCTTGTTGTTACATTTTTATTTCTACTCTCTTTTGAAATGAAAAGGGATAAATGGAAGACAACTTCACATCATATTTTTCATCCTTCCAATTTAATTGCATAGTAGACTTAAAAACTTAAAAATAAGGGAGAGGAACAACATACCTGACTATCAATTGCAAAATACTCCAAGTTCATCTGCAAATATCAATCAGGTTCAAACAAGGTTATGAAAGCAAATCTACAAGATAAAGCTTGCATACGACAAATTTGGAATGTAACAATAACCTCTCTTAAGGCGCCAATACGAGAGAGAACGCTTCCATCTTTCTTGATATGACTAACAAGGTCTCGTGCAACGGGTGAGCTAAAGAACACAAATGCCCTAATGATAGAACAAAAGAAAATTAGATGAAGTAAGAAATGGCCCAGTAGAAATTTAAGCATGAAGAAGCTTTTCCATCAACACAGGAATGCAAAGAGAAAAGTCTCCATATAATAGTTAGAAACATAATCCAAGCAACCAGACAAAAACATACTTTCTGTACAATGGAGATCTTCCAGACATATCGGAAAGGAAGATAACAATGCTGCATATCAAGAAAAAAAATGGTATCAATGGCGGGGTTATACAGAACCACACACAATTAATACTTGATCGATACTCAACAGTAAAAAAATTTAGGAAGCAACATAGGTAGAATAATTTTAGATTTAAGTATATAACCGCTGATATCGAGCACCCTTACATTTGAATAAGTAAAATTTAAGAAGAATTGAACAAGATAGAGAAGAAGATGATGATGATGTGTCACCAACAAAAAATTTTTAAGTATTTAAATTAATAACAAAGAATTAGTAGAGTAAAATTTTAACTTGACTAGTATCCCCTCAAAAATAAGAAGCATAGAGCTCGGAGAAAATAAAGACGTGTGCATTTTCCAACTAATTCAGAAACACTTTTATAGAATATCATATTATTTCTAGCAAAAAAGAAACTAATGACATATTCTAATTCAGAAATACTAAAGCACTGTCGTTATGATAGACAATATAGAAAAGTCTCAATACTTCTCTTTTGTTGGCTGGATGAAATATATAGCATCCATAGTGGGCAGCGGTTGCCTTCGTTTATGTATGTCTTCCACCACTGCAAACCACAGGGCACAATCAATAATCAATACAAAACACTTTGTAACTATCCACTACAAAAGCAATCTGAAGGAGATAATTTGTAACTATCACAAAGAAAAAAACACAAAACACACAAAAATCAACTAATAGATAAAATTAATAAATTTTGGTTTAAGAGATTTGAAAAGAGATAAGGATTCAATTTATGCTACATGCAGAATAAGACGCTTCCAATGAGACATAACCTGTCCGCTCCATTCCACAATTGGATTTATACTTAAAACTCAAAAAAAATTTAGAGACGGTTAATTTATGGCAGTTCAAGTAATACATGATACCTAAACTTTCTTATCAAGTGTAACAATGCAAAAAGGATTTCCACTTTCCCTATCTTATGATTTTTCACATTATATATGTATTATGTTGTTCACAAAATGAATAAGAAAATAGCATTTACAACGTAGTAAAAAAATAGAAAAAGGGTCAGTATAGTAAAGTTGTTTAAGCATAACAAGAACAAAGTATAGAAATTTGCAGATGAAATTTACTCTTTAAACCGCTAGTTACAGAAGTGAAAAGCATGAAAGCAAGCAAGTCATAGATAAAGGTTAAAAGAAGAAAGATACAGTTGTCTCTGAAACTGGTCTTCTATTTCTTACATGAAACTCCTTCCTCTGTGATATCTGCCATCTTGCACGCATATGACATTACTTTAACCGTTACCTTGTCCATGATGAGAACCTAAATGTCCGAAAGGAAATATGAAAAAGAAGTTCATTAAAAGTTTTGTTTAATTGAAAAAATGAACAAACAACCTCCACGTGTTGTGACAGGGGTTCAAAACTTCTCCTAAAAGGTAAAAAGAAAAAATACAGTGGGTTTAAAGAGTAAAACAGAAAAGTCTGTAAAAGGGGTCAACTAAATGGTTTCAGATTTAGATAACCATAGGACAAAATGTGAATGGTATTGGGATATATATATTGAAATTAACAGTGGTACACTGATACGGAAGAGAAAGATGAGAAGACCGTGAAGCACAGAACATCAAATGCAAATACTTTTAGATCACTTTACTTTACACTGCGAAGCTTTGTAACTCATATTCAACCATGAAAAGATCAAAAATAATAATTCAAATTTTCTGAGAAGTCAAATATGCGAAAGTAGCCTTCACTAAAGTGACTTGCATCTACTGAACAATGCATTACTATGTGAGCTAGGGCGTTTAAATCTCATTGCAATTTCCAACAGTAACAGAGATGCATATGATAGTTTCTTATACCTTCCAACTTGATTTTGAGTCACCTGTTTTGGCTGATCGAAGCATTTCATACAATAATCCTGTAAAAAAGTACTCAACATAAATAACTTCAACGATTCATCAAATGGGAAGGATGATCGATGACTCAATATAAGAAATGCCAGCATGAAACAAATTAATAGATGTCGCATAATAATATTTGTCAATTCATAGATAAATTATAGGGCAAACACATAAAATGTGATAATCACTTGATCTGATATAGCACCAATCCAATAAGGCCCAACTCAACATCCTATTTTTAGAAGAGAGCTGGTTGACTAGAGGACTGATATTATGAGTAAAACCTTAGCACAATGACCAGTAAAAAAAATGGTCTTAGCCATTTATATTAATATATATTTGTAATTATTGAAATCCATATAGTAGCCTTTTGACTATTTTAACTGTTACATACTCACGTTTGTTTGATAATCAGATAAAAGAGAAAATTCCTGATAAAACTCTTCTATGCTAAAACATAAGGTACGAAAGTACATTCTGAACCATTACCTGGTGTTCCAAATTATACAGATTTTTGTAATTATTTATTTTCAATGAGTAAAGTTTCAATTAATTCAATATATATGCATAGTTACAAGGCTCTTTATAATGCCCTTACCACACTACAATTTCTTGCTTTATGGGAAATATTCTATCTAATTAGATATAAAAAAATACACATTGTAGCAAAAAACCTGTCCTATCAATTGAAAAGGTGCTCAAAAAATTATACACAATCAAGAAACGCAAACCACATAAAGAATGTGGATTTTCCTTGTTTATTTGTCCAAGATACAAGATAGCATGGCTAGGTTCTTTTAGCATTTTTTTTTTTTTTTCTATTTTTACTATACAATCTCCATGATTCCCAACATCAAATCACTATGCACACACACACACCAAAACTTTGGTTGGTACCATGGGTACGATGGTCTCCCATTTCATTTATGATACTTGAAATGAAATGCTAAACACTAAACACCCTTGCACAGGAGACCATCAATTGCAAATTATTAAGTTATTATCTGTACATTTAGTGTCACTATAACTGTGAAATGATCTTCCACTATGTGTCATTGTTTCCTCACATTATGTTCATCAGATGATCCGACATAGTTCAATGTACTTATTAATGTGTAACCTAGCAATGTGAATCAACTTCATGTAATGCAAAATTTTCGTGACACTCTCGTGATCAAAATTGTTTCAAAATTACGAAAATTAACGAATTCTATACCCTCCTATTTCTGGCTAAACATCATACCAAGATAATCCTCCCCTCCAAATTGAGTAATAAACCCCTTATTCCTCAAACCGTGATTTTCCTCCAAAACATAACAATTTAATTGTAAGAACATTGTATACTTTCACGGAACAAAATCGGCTTAACTAGAGAAAAAGTAAAAGCAACAAAGACATGAATCGAAGATCAAGCTCCAGGAACAGAAAATAAATAAAGTAAAACCCAAAGCTAAATACCAAACAAACGCCCATCAATCTCAACGGTAAAGCAAAATTAAACTACGAAAACCACTGCATCTTACTCCGCCCATTCACACAATCACAACCCCCAAAACCAAAATCCACATAAAGTCGCAGAGATAATTAAAATCAACTTACTGTCTCGGCTAATTTGGCGGAAATTCTTGTACTCGCTGCCCTGAGACGACGTATCGGAATCAGACATCGACATCGTGATGACTTGGTAATCACACCGAAATTATTAAGAAAAAAATATGATATCTTCCAGTTTCTCCGAATCGAGCGATCAATGAGAGTTATTAAGGTGTTGATCGGTAATCCTTGTGGGTTGAAGAAAGTGGAAAAATCGTCACACGGCAGAAGAAGACGACGACGACGACGAAAAAGAAGAAGGAAATGGGTTTGAAGAAGTTCTTGCTGTTCGTTCGGGTTCTGTGTGGGTTTGACCGTTCTTGCCCGATATTGAATTTCTGTGACTGAACAAGTCATCCGGGTCGGGCGGGTCAGATGGCGCAGTTACAATAATACCCCTGCTTATTTTGTTTATTACATTTTATTCTCTCTACCGCAACCCTCTTTTAGTGCTATTCAAACTACTTTATTTTTATCTATCTTTTAAAAAAAAAAATTATCTTAATTATAAATAAATAAATATATTATTTTATTCACTTGTATTATATAAAATTTTATTACTTACAAAATAATATTTATATTATATATATTTTATTGAAATATATCATAACTTATTATTTATAACATATTAATATAAAATATTTTATTATATCTTTTCACAAAATATCAAATCAAATTCTAATTTATTTATTTTTTCAATATTTCAAAACTCTCAGAAAAACTCTCTTATAAAGATCGCCAGATTGCATGCTAAGTAATTGTGTTTACATTGACATTTGGAAAGATCTTATATTATTCATTAATAATTTTTTTAAAAAATAAAAATAAATATTATGTTAAATATTTTTTATAAGCAGATATCGCATTAAATAGTTATTTTTATAGAATTCGACTGTTTATTTGAATCTATACATATACACGTTGTATGTATATCGCAAATAGCGTGTGTTGTAGGGTCAATGTCAATGTTTGACGCGCATACGCGTGACCATGACGTGGCGTGACGTGGCAAATGAATCAGCCAAGAGTTGTAATAATTTGAAGTTATCGCAATTTGGCGGCTGCCCCAACCGTTAATTCTGAATCATCATTGTCCACAATAACATTAATCCACAAATTAAAATTAATTATTATTTCTATTTAAAATAAAAGCAATCTGGAAATCCATCTTACATTTACAATACATACGAATGAAACTACTTAAAAATCACTCAATGCCAATCTACACGTTGGATTGACCTGGATTTCAAATGTCAACGCAGTTGACATTCACAGCCCAATCTATATATAACGTACGTATGATTATACAAACTAAAGTTATTTTATTTTCTTCTATTTTCCGAAAAATTAAAAGGATTGAAGAAAGCACAATGAAGCTAATTTGGTCCCCAGAAATGGCCTTAAAAGCTTACATTGAAACAGTGAATACAGTCAGCACAAAAAGCTTTCATTTTTCCGGCGGCGTCGGCGCGGCGGAGGCGGTTTCGGCGATGGCCGCCGGATGGGGCGCCAGGCTTGTCGTCGAGGCGTGGTCGCGGGGCAGCACGATCGCCGTGAGCGTTGGCCTGGCGACGGCGGTGAAGCACACGGGGGGCCGGCATGTTTGCATAGTCCCCGACGAAGAGTCGAGGGTCGATTACGTCGACCGCATGGCCAGGTCGGGGCACAGGGCCGGCGAAGTGGTGGTGCGCGGGGTGGTGCCGGTGGAAGAATTTGAAGAGATTGATTTTCTCGTGGTGGACGGTAACGGGGAGGAGGAGTTTTCCGGGGCAAAGAATTTCGGCGATAGAGGTGCGGTTTTGGTGTGCAAGAATGCCGGGTCGAGGGCGACAGAGGGCTCGTGGTGGCGGAGAATGATCGACCGGAAGTCGAGGAGGGTGGTTAGGTCAATGTTTTTGCCGGTCGGGACGGGGTTGGATGTTGCGTACGTTGGCGCGACGATTCGGGGAGGGAACGGTCGGGGGAGTAGGTGGGTCGAGTGCATAGATTCACGATCTGGCGAAGTGTTTGTAATCCGGAAGTGAGTTGAAAATTTCCGTGTAAAGAAACGATTAAATAGTTCGTGCAGAGCTCAGACCGTGACCGTGCTTATTTTTGTCACCTCTACTACATCGACATTAAATCATAGATGTTTCGACTATTTCAAATCCATAGCTTAAATCCAAAACACTTAAACAATGGAGATCCATAGGTAACACAATTGACAAGCAACAATGGCAGATAAGCATTTACATAGTTGTGAAATGGCCTTTAGTGATAGCTACAAACTTTCTATGTACAGCTTAGACGACGATTAAACCGTGGCGACGAGGGGCGAATCGCTAAGGCTAAAGTAAATACATATCTAAACAAAGTAAAACCGTACCGTCGAGAAAACTTTCCGCCGTAGTTCAGCTGCAGTTGATTCTTAGCCTCTTCAATTCGACTTGGAAACAAGGATTAGACTTGAGAGTTCGTTGCGCAAGAGCGCGTATGTCTTCGCGTGTACAATCTCGAGATATCCGAATGAGCTCCCACAAGGCGCCTCCATTGACCATTTCCTTTGAGTTGATATCTGGAATCGAACGATATGCAAAGTTTTTTACGTGCATAAAAATGTTTTAGTCGTGTTTTCATTGCAAAAGATCATGTGAAACGAAAAGGTCCTACCGTGTTGTGCTAAATGGCAAAGGGCTAGCTCCAAGTGACGCCTAATTGGCGAGGCTTCGTTATTAGCATTCTGCACGATCCAGGGAAGGATGCCGTCTTCTATTAGAACTGACTTCCCGCTCTTATTCCCTGCAACGATTAGTGAAGAATCGAGCATAGAAATAGTTAGTTCATCTGTGGTGCTAAGAGTTTAGGCTAAAGAACTGACTTCACCTTGGATGGATGCTCTCGATTCACATTTAGCAAAGTTTGCGATTCCACGAGCAACTTGAGCCAGAACATCGGGATGCCTGCATCTAACCATCCCGAGAAGCGCCCTGATGCCGCCTTCAGCTCTAAGCTTCGCTTGCAACTTTTCTGTGGACATGAAAGCAAAGTTTCACCTCACAAGTAGACTTTTGAATAATTCGACTTCACTTTCAATGTATTATTTCGACAGTTAATGCTTGTGAAAAACTTTACTGTCAGGATGGTGAGGAAAGGAGTAGAGAGTGTTGCTATTTACCGTTTCCACAAAGATTGGCGAGGGCTCCGGCAACCATTCGGAGCGTCTGAGGATCGTCTGCCTTGGCTGCTGTCAGTGACAACAAGCTTATTCCTCCTTGAGACATAATGAGCTCCTGGTTGGTTTCTGCCAAAGATCATCGTGAACAAATTTATAAGTTAGCGGCGAACAAAGGTAAAAAATGGTATTTGGTAGTGCACAACTAAATCCTAATAAAGCCGACGCAATTTACCACTCATTGCAAGATTTGCAATTGCCCCAGCTGCAACTCGATGAATTGTTTCGTCATTGGAGCTTCTTAGAAGCATAAGCAAAGATGCAAGTCCGCCAGCTTCGACAATTTTCTCCTGATTCGATTCTGAAAATTGAAACAAATATTCGTAAGCATCAGAGAGGAAAAATGATATCCTAACATCCCTAGAAAAAGCGAGAAAAAAATACGACAAATGCGAAAAAGAAAAGGAAAGTATTTTAAGTAATACCTTCTGCGGCAAGATTAGCAACTACTTTAACAGCATGAATTCGTACATCAGCATCTTCAGAATCGAGTAATGACAATATTCTGTGCAAACCCACTGCCGGAGTGTGGTTGGTATCAATAAATAGGATTTTAAAAAGAAGACAGCCAATATGTAGTGCAAAAGTTTGAAGAAAGGAATTAGAACAGCACCTTGTTCAAAGAGTTTCACCATCGAAGCTTTCTCTCCATCTCCAGAATTTCTAACTTGTTGCGGCTTGACCTGAGGACTGAGTGTGTCCAAGGGGCTCGGTGCATTTCCAATGGAACTTCTCTCAAGATTTCTGCTTGACTGCAAAGTTGTACAGAATGAAAAAAAATAATTTGAAAATTGTTAAGCAAAAACCTATTTCAAAACCATAGGCGTTATAGTTTTGCAAGAAAAATTTTAGTCACCAAAGACTGTTTGTATTACAGTGGAAGACAGTAAGGATCCTCAATATACAAAAGAATAATTCTCATGCAATTCCTGATTATCATTGAAGCAAAATTTGCTCTGACTTGTGATATTATGATAAATGCCCATCAGTGCAACACATGTGACAAGTTTAATCTTTTATTATTTTCAATCCACCAAGAAAAACAAAACACAATCGGCAAAAGGAGCATTGGAATGGAGAGGTTTCTAATATAATTAGCTATCAACTAAGTGGTAGGAACTGTATCGTATGAACCATCTGATGAACGTTCAGATTCAGCAGTAGTAGTTAGCGGATAATTCCTACTTAGGTCCATAAACCCAAAAAGCTTTGAAATGTTTGAAAAAAAAAACATTAAAGAAATATGGAAAGAACAGAAAATATGGACACTTATGGGACAGATGGGAAATCAAATGAAAACGTCTTGGTAACATTTATGGCTGCAAAGTGCTTACCTCATCTGCTTCGAAGCTTATTTGCAATAGCTGACTCTGTAGCATTTCTATTTCTTCTTCAAGTTTTGCCTTCTGATGTTCTTCATCTTCAAGCATTTTGCGTAGTTTTAAAAGTTCGGTATTTCTAGCACCCTGATGGAATAAACTAATCAACATTAGAAGCCAAGATAGACATTGAGGAAAAAGGAACATTAGGTACCACACGTTATGAATAAAAATAGTAACACAGCAAACACCTCTGTGTTTTTTAACTGAACCAGCTGATTCTTTAGATTTTCAATTTCTGCTTCAGCAGCTTTTCGCAAAAGAGTTTCATTCTGAAGCTTTTGTTTAATCTCTGCAACTTCACCAGCAGCTATCAGCTTAGGCTGCGGAGTAACAGAATTCATTGTAGCACATTCACTGCTAATAGCCAGGTAGTTCACAAAATAAAGAAACTCGGAAGGCCTACTATCCAAATTATCCATTTCCTCAGCACTTCACATGTATCTCTCTTCTATAAATTGTAGCGTGCTGAGTCCTATTACAGTCTCATGTATTGCATTATTTCATCTTTAAATCTACTACCGTCTAAATGTCAATTCGCATTCAGAATCTGATTAAGAATGTACAAGTGTTTGCCATCAAGGATTTAAATACAAATTAAAAGTTCAAAACAAGTTTATATCACTCACAAAATCGATTGCTGCACAAGTAATTTACTTTCCTTGAAGACACAAAAGCCACCTAACTCTAAGGAATTCTGTGTTATGATTGAAAATCAATGTCATCTAAATCTATCAGCATGAGGAGGCACAACAGTACAGTTTTACCACCAACCCTTTCTCGCAGGCCTCATTTGCTAAATAGTAGCAGATTTGAATCCTTGATGATGAATAAAAAAAACTATAGCTAACATGCAAAAGCAGATACATAATCATGCGGTACCTCTGAGTTTGATTTATGATCAGTGCCATCATCAACTATACCTACTTTAACCTTTTGCGATCCATGGTTCTTTAGTTTTGCTGCCCATTGTTCTTCAAGCCTCTTTACAGAATCCATGTGCTCTTTCTGGGACTTCAGTTTCTCCTAGAAAACATCTCAATGAATAAACTAAGATATTGAGTAGGCAGTGAAGATCTGAACTTGTGCGTTAGTGCACATGTAGAAGCACAAACTGTAAATGAAAACAAAACAAATATTGTGTCGGATCTTTGTTTTGATTTACAGTTATTCTTCAAAAAATGCAGAGCATAACAAGTTTGATTGGATATATGGTGTCAGTTGTAATGTCATTTAGCAACAACCAGTAGATATCAAACCATAACTGCTTCCAAGATAGTAACACCAGCACAAGGGTCGAGCACTCGAAGTGGGCTTTATGCTCCAGAATTTCTTCAAATTTTCTAGAAGTATTACCGATCACACTATGTTCACACCAAGCATATGATCACTACTTCATCTAACTCCTAAATTTGAGACCATGATAGGATCACAGAACCACAAACAAAGGTATGTATGGTCAATGGTGTGTTCTTAGGAAGATACCTTTTAGAGCTTAAAAGCTTAGGGCGTGCTTGTTTATGTTTTCATACTTGTTTTTGAACTATGAGTGCTCTAGTAAAAAAAATATCAATCCCTATACAAACGTCAAATCAAACATCTATTTGTATTATAAACATTACATCAAAACTTATTTTCAATTCAAAATTTTTATTATTTCCTAAATAACCAAAACACTCCAAAGCACAGGAACACGCCCTTAAACTAGGTCGAAGGACATAAAAATTTCAGGAATAAAACAGAAACATGATATTTATGTCACAGATCTGATATGCTGATCATTTCTCATTGAGCTGCTATATGAGTTCCAGCCTTGTAGCATAAGTATAACTAGACATTTATACACTAAACAAGAAGCGGAAAAATAAGCAACAGTCCGCTGAACCAAGATGACGCCTCACATACCTCCAATGCATCAGCATATTTATGTTCCATCTCAGTGATATGCTTTTGTGCTTCCAATTTTGTCCTTTCGATCTCATCCTGAAATGCCTTTTGTTGTCTTTCAAGTTCTGCAATTAGTTTGTCCAACTGTATTTCAAGTCTTCGGGACAAACTTTTGTAATCAAATTCCTCTTTAATTTTTACCATGTTCTCCACCTTCATGGCCTGAAAAGACAAACATTAACCAAAAAAAAAAAAAAAAAAAAAAAAAAAAAAAATCTTTAATAGTATCCATCATAAAAAATAATTTCCAGATATATATAAGCTTGAATCCGATTATCAGCTCCCTCTATACAACAGGCAACTCTTCATCTTTTACGAATGATTACAACTCAACAATACATAATAACCATTTTCTAGAGAAGACATCAAAATTTACCCGCTGTCCAAACATGATGGTGCTGTTTGTCTCTCCACGATGGCGTGGTGACGGACCAATAGTAATGACCAATGAAGTTCTTGCTGAACCTGAAAATTTAGCATTAAGACCATGAAGACTTTGAATTTGAGCATAAAAATAGGATAAACAAAAGGCACTACGATGAGATTCTCACACAAGGTATTGTCATATATCCACGTGACCGTTGCCCTTAACAAATCCTACTCAACTTCAGAAAAGCTCGAGTTTCTTTTAATCATAAAATGTTTTTAAGTAAGATACAAATGCGATGGACATAGCATGCATGTTTTCAAAAAGACATTCAAGGAAACAAATTAGGCATGATATGTTCTACTTTATTCCATAAAGTTCAAGAAACAAATTGAATTAAATATTAATATGAGAATGAATATATAGTCATACCCATAAGAGAAAAAAAAAAAAACTATATGCTCAGTAAAAGGTGAAAATCAAAGATATCAGGGGAAACGTCCATTCATTGAGAAGTAAAGACAGAGAAACACGAGGCAGGAAATAAGTAAGTTGGTTCTCTCCCTTTTCTGAAATTCATCATTACAACGCTTTTTTTTTTAATACAGACTTTTTATTATCACCTCCAAATGAATCTCGAAGTAATCTTGTAAGCTTTGAATCGCGGACAGGAACATGTGCACTGTTCTCAGCCAAGGCATTGATACACTTTCCTAATGCACTCAAAGACAGGTTTATAGATTTAGCTTCCTCCAGCGTATGGCCTTCGCTCCCTGGCAATGAAAGGCAAAGAGATTGGAGGATAAAATGCCAAAGCAATATAGACTTTTACTTTGAACTATGATTCTCGCCATCTCTTGGATCAACATAAGCAGAGCAAGATATCAAATCAATAATATATGAAGCAAAAAAGAAAACAGCCATTCACAGGAGTTGTATCAATTTTATTTTAAAAAAATGTAATGAGTTTATGTGAAAAATGGCTGAAGATAAAAGGCATAGGAATAAAAGTTCCTCATATAAAACAATTAGCTAATAACATTATACTGATTGTCCTACAAAATTATGAAAACACCCACTGAATATGCATGAAGTGTGGCCATATTTTGTATGATAGGCTTTACAATGTAAAAGACCATGCACAACTTTCCCTTCCACATCCTTTATAACTCAGATCATAGCTGAAGTGATATGCCACATTGCTTCATTGCATACAACTATTCAGAAAAATACCTGATTTGTCAATTCGCTCGGAACCAGCAAGGTCCACAATAACTAGCTTGCTTTTTCTAACAATGGGGGGCTTCAATGACTTTAAACCCATGCTTCCATTTTCACTTGAAATAGAAGAATTCCTTCCTTTCACAGACCTTTTTATGTGTACCTGACCAAATATAGGTTTCAGCATGCCTGAACTTTCCGAAGAATTGGTGGAAAAGGCTATCATAAAGTAGGAATGTAATTTATTCACCATTAAAATTGCATGACTTCGTGAGGATTCTGTATTTAATTTTGTGTTTGCAGCAAAACGGTGAGCTTCGCCTAATTTAAGCAAATGCATGAAACTCTTATGATCCCTAATTTCGACCACAGTAGCTCCAGGTACAGATACATCTCCACTTTTGGGATCTTCAACAATAGATATACTATCATTAGCTGGATTAAGGAGATCTTGTATGGTTTCCATGTAGAGCTGCAAGATCACAAGACGGTAAATTTAGAGCTCACGATGTTAGGAAATAGAAGTGCAAATTGCATATGAATTGAGAATAAAATTAGGAAGAAAAAACTCAGTAAAAGAGTCGATAAAATGTAGTTCAAATGATACCAAAGTAAACATTTAAAGAAATCTCAGATAGACAGAACCTGCAAGTAAGAAACAGACACCAGATCATTTTCAGGTGATACTTCAGCCAATATATCCTCCATTGCACGCAACATTATTCCACGATCAGAAGCATCTTCTTCTCCTAGCCGTCCAAGTGTGTAGGTTTTCCCCGTACCAGTTTGCCCATATGCCATCACTGTTCCATTGTAACCCTCCAACACGCTCTGAAAAAAAATATAGATACATTACATACAATACAATAGACGACTCTTACACCCGTTGTAAAATCCAGGGTGGTGAACAAAAACAAAGAAGCCACAATTTTGGAGGAATCTTCTAAATAAAAAGGCAAAACCACAGTGCACTAGACTACTTTATTTTTCTTAACACATGTAAGATATCTTATTCATGATAGCAAAGACAGTAGGCCAGAAAATAGACAATGAGGCGGAGAAGAATTTAAAATATGGAAAAAATGCACGGGATGTTAGATTCTCAAGACATATAACAGAGCACTGAACATAGGGTATGCTGCCTATGCACAAACTTAATTAAGTAAAACTAGCAGCATTATGAATTCCATAAAAAAAACATTGTTTTATCTATAATTGCAAAGATCTTCAAATAAAATTGATCATATCATCACCGTTCAATAATGTACAGAATCAAAGAGCTTTTGCACTACAACATGAAACAGACCAAAAATAATGCAGAGAGGTTGGACAAATATGAACATTGCAGAATTTTGCTTTGATTTGGGTTATTTACTGCAGCTAATTGCCCACATGAATAGGCAGTTATTTCTCGATATAAATTGTGCTAAATAAGGTTACACATGATATTTCCCTACTTATTATATATAATTCATTGAACCAAGTAATCTTTTTGCTATGAACGCAAAAGAATAATATATTATGAAATCCTTTTGATGTTTAATATACCATCTATGCTCGATGCAGAAACTGCAGTATAAAAATGTGTTTATTCATAGTTCCCTTCAGAACTTTAACAGTGTAATCAGCAAATACCGCAAGTTATGTGTACCTCCACTACGGGCTTTGCTACAACTTCATACACCCGCTTTTGTGATGCAAACTCTGTTAGAATTTCATCAAACTCATAAGTATCAGAATCCCAATTGTTCTTCCGAAGCTTCAATCGTTTGAGCTGAACATCCAAGAAAATCACAATCAGCGATTGGGATCTAATCAAATTCTAAATGGCCAAACCAATAAAAATCTGATAACAGCACCCAATTACACCCATAAAAAGCATTGTACCTCTGGCTGTGGTTCCACGCAATCTGCAAAATCAGCATCTGCAACCATCTCTTCTGCATTTCGAGGCCTTAATCTGACAGCAACTCTTACTCTTCCAGAAACTGTCACATAATTCAATATTTACCATACAAAAAAAAAAAAGAAAAATCCCAAATCTTTTTCAGAAAACTAAATAAATAAAACGAAATATGAACAAAATGATCATATATGTGGGAACTCATTAGATCAAGGCATTTAAGATCAAATCCATATGTTTCCAATAGAACAATCACAAAATAATCAATAAATGGAGAGCCAAATCAATCTCTCTAGATCACCCAACTTAATGATGATACAAAAAGTATATGAATTTATTAGAACATTATAAGTTGCATGTGCACAAATAAACAATAATTTAGCATAAAATAAATTAAATTGAACAATCTCATACTAAGCTGCCTTAAAAAAAAAAAAAACAAACAAACAAAGAACTACCGCCACAAAAGCATCGCAACATTAATAATGGCAACAATTTCCTCTACTCCAACACAAAAATTTGAAGATCAAGCTTAGACATTCTTCCACAGTGTACACACGATGCATTCAACAACGAAGGAGTCCAAATTCTTCCAATTCGAACAAAAATTCAATTTCTGGGGGGCTACCTGCAGAATCGTCTCGGCTCGAGCTCGAGCCAGTGCTGCTGCGCCTGAGGCTGGAAGAAGTGACGCTCGGCAATTGCGCCTTTGATTTCAACGAAGAGTACTTGGAATTGTGATTATCAAACTTCACTGCACCTCCTCTGGTGCTGGTGCCGGTGCCGCCATTTCTGTAGTAGCTATTTGCCGACATTTTGTTGACGATTTTCTTCGCATTATCTGCGCAATGGGAGAAATTGTAGGAAGAAAAAGGTTGGAGCTTTTTGGAGAAATATGGTTGAAAAATAAATTATAATAATTCAGACCCAACCGATAAATTGAAAGCTGCACTGTAAAAATGGCGTAGAATAGGCGCTCCAATCATTACATTATCCCACCAAAGCCTTGCTTATTTTTATATATATATATATATATATATATGTCTTTTTCATTTAACAAATAATAATAATAATAATAATAATATTTTCCCACTTAAATTGTGGTCTTTAGCTTAGCACAAGCAATTAAAAATTATATTACTAAAAATAATTATATATAAAAATTAAAATAATTACATAATTATTTAAAATTAAAAAATTATAAATTATAAATTTTAAAATACGACTAAAATATATAAATTAGACGAGAGACGTTGAGTGATAAAATGAAACTTTAAAAAAAAAAAAACATTATTATATGAATTTAGTTGAAAACTTTTTTGTAATGGGAATAAAAGTTATAAAAAGTGACTAAAAGTTGGAGCCTTAGAATTTGAATTTGTAAGCTTTTGGTAAAAGTGTGGAGCCCTAAATGGTGAACCAATATTTCATTCAAGACTTTAATTAGTAAGGTATTTCTCTATTCATAAAATATTTGTAAAAAAACAATAAAAATAATTAATATTTTTTTATAATTTGTGTCTTTTGTTCAATCGTAAATAATTATAATAACTAATTAAATCTCGATATGAGGCATCGAATATATATTAATTTTCTAATATAAATATTACTAATGTGATAAGAACAAAGAACAATATCATTCACATTAAATATGTTCGAAATTGTTATATATTTAATATAAAATCATCGTTATTTATGCTATACATTTATTTTAATTTTTATTTTTTTTTTTGGATAAATTTAATATAACGTGGTCTCATTCAAGAAAGTGATTTTGGACAAGTCATTAGTGAAGAATTTGATCGATATATTGATAGAATTCAAATACGTTAGTAACTTTGCGGCTATTTGTAACCGTACTAATTCGATCATTCTTATCGCAATACATTACATTGATATAAAAAATCGAAAGGATCTTTTGTCATTGTCATGATCATTAACTTTTCTTACAACATCACTTGTAGTAAGAATCAATGCACCAATAGATCAAACTTTTAGCAAAAATTTAGGATGTGTTTGAACGTGTTTTTGGATGTTGGAAGTCGTTTTCAACTATAAATCTTTTTGATAGAAAAATATACTTCACTCAATAATTTTAATGATAGAAATATTATTGTAACTTTTAAAATATCATTAAAATACAACTAAACATTACATCCAATAAAATGTCATTAATTGTTTTTAATGTGAAGCCTTTTATTTTAGTCTTGAAATTCATAGTTGCAAATGAACTAATTGCTAAATAGAATATTTTATATGAAAATTTTGTATTTTTTAATAAAAACTTATTGGGAAAAAAAAACATTGTTTAAATTAAATTTAATTTATTTAAAAAATAAATCATTAAATGTTTACTTTTATATTATACTATAAATTAAATTTATATTCAAAATATTGTATAATATTTATTTATATCAAATCGAAAATTACACAAACAAACACACCCTAAACATGAGTTACTTAATCTATAAAAAGAATTCATTAACAAACTTACATCAATAAAGTAGTTACAATTTTTTGTAAAATTTACTATATTAACTAAGAATATTCATTTATTAAAGCATTTTTGGTCACATCACTATATCAATCCATGTTTCATCACACTCTAAATTTTATTTTATTTTTTTTGGGAAAATTCATTCATTTATTTATTTATTTAAAATTACAAGAAGATTAAACATTACTAATAGAAAAATTGTACAAATTAAAATTATTATGGAGTATATAAAGGGGGAAAAACAAAAGGACCACTTAAAAGTGCAAACTAATAGATGGTCCAAATTGGAGCACATGCAATTTTCATACTTATATATATATAGGCTTCATTTTTTATTTTTTTTTTCATAATATTATATTTTGACTCTTTATATATATATATATATATATATAATTTTTATTATTGTAATTTTGTCACATATTTATTTATTTATGTTTTTATCGTAATCATTTACACGAATGACGATTAACTAAAAAAAGTGATCATTAGAGACAATTATACGATACAAAAATAGTAAATTTCGACTCTATTTTTTCTCTTATCTTATTTTTAATTATATTTATACAAATGATGATTAATTTAAACTTTTGTAATGTTAGTACATAAGAAAAATGAAGTGGACCATGAATAATGTTATTGTACTAAAATTGTCACTATTTGCATTACAAATACAATACAATACATTGAATTTAGATGGGGGCAAATGATTATGTACCTTTTATTCTCTTTTGTTTTTCACTCCCTTTGTACATACAACTCATCTCTTCCTAATTGCTTTACTTCTTTTTGTTGTGGTACATATGGTAGTATAATTTTAATAATTTAATATTTTTTCAATTTTTATTTATTTATTTTGGTTTAGAATGTTTTCATAAGTTTATAACATTACAAAGAAAATAATAATAATAAAAAATATATATATATATATATCTGTTCCAATTGTTTTTTTTTATTATTTTCACCGTCCCACTTAAAAGTATTAATTTTGTATTATAGTAAAATAATTGTATACTAATACCAAAATACTCTTTTACTTTTACATAAATTACGATGAAAAAACACCGATTGAATCAATACTAGAGAGTATACTTTGTATGTTCATTTAAAAGTAACCGTCAAGAAAAAATCCAAAAAAGGGAGAAAACAATAAATTGAAATAATTCAAAGATCGGTGTTCATTGGCCAAAGATGAGCTCCAAATTCTGTGATGATATTCCATACAATAATAGAGATATTAACATTCATGATTGAATCCAACATGTTGGTTCGAACCAAAAAGGACGATTCGACTTATGGCCAATGACGAATCAAATGTCTTTCGGAAGGGTATTTGAGTTGACAAGCATTCAATGAAACGGTTTTGACGTAAGATTGTCGCAAAGTGGTCGAATTGATAATATATGAAGTTAGCTCAAACCACGACTTTAAAAAAATAAAAAAATAAAAAATTATTGAGTACTTTTAAGAATTTTAATTTTAAAGAAATGTTCAATGAGACAAGTTTATTTCAATCTAATAATAATAATAATAATAAAATGAAGCTCATAAGCTGAATCATTATATTAAATGAAATATAGATTTATATATTTTAATCTTTGTTGTTTTTAGGTGAAATGGAAATTGAATCTGATGTTTGAATAAAAATAAATAAATATTTTATTGAAAATAATAAAATTGTATAATAAATAAAAAGTTTTGAAAAATACCAAAAGGGCATAGGGGTGTGTAAATTCAAGTCATCTATAAATGGCATTCATTATATTATATTTATATTATTCATCACAATTGTAATTATTCTTTCCTGTTGTAATTTTGCCCACATGATAGGGCAACTCTGAGTTGTCATCCTAAGTACCATAAATTCAACAACCATATTGTCAAAAAGTATTTCAAAAAAATAAAAATACTAAAATAATTATTAAAGAAAAAAAAAATGTAGTTGAGAGAGGTGGAAAGGCTTTAAAAGGGTGTGAAAATATAGTTGGTTGTATTATTAGTGTTTGATTATTATTTTTTAAAATATATAATTGTTTGAATATAATATTTTATAAATAAAAAAAATGTATTTTTAGATAAAATTAGAATAGTTATTCAATAATAAAACTTAAAAAACACACTCATTATTTGTGGATTGATAGAGAAATTTCACATGATCTATTACTTTCTTGCCCTCAAAATCATTACTTTGCCCAACCAAAGTAGAGGAGGAGAGGGGGCCCTTCTTGCCATGCCCTACCCATGTTTTTATACACACTATATATAAATAAGTGTATGCATATTTATTTATTTACTTTTTCGGATAGCGACTGTGAATTCTCGTATTATAAAATATATATATATATGTTTATTGTTCTAAAAAAATAATTTGGTGGTGTGAGATCTCATAGCCATGAGATTATGGATAAAAAACTTTAGTTAAGAAAAAATAATACTCGCTCCGTTCTATAAATATAATTTTAATTGGGTTGAGCACGAGATTTAAAGAATATTGATATTATATTGGTAGTTGATAAAAAGTACAGATAAGACTTTTTTATCTTGTGAGTGTATTAATATAAAAAGTAATGACAATTGTGTAATAATAATGAAAAAGTATGAGTAATTTTATGGTTATACGATTATTTATTGAAATAAGACTATTGTTTTTGTAAAGAACAAAAATGGTAAATAAGATTATTATATTGAGATGGAGGAAATAATAATAATAAAACATATTGCTAGTTTTTAATAGTTATATATTATTATTTTAGAACATTCAAATAATATTAAATTATCATTAAAAAGATACATAAAGATAAAGTACTATTGTTATTTTAAGTTAGATAAAACTAATATATATATATATATATATATTCTTGTGGTGAATGGTATTTTACAGCATATTTAGTGAAAAACGTCTCTTTAGAAATGATCTCATTTTGATTACAATTTTTTAATGGATAATTTAAATATATATATTAAAAGGGATCCAAAAATTATCATATAATTATATATTAAAGATTAAAATCTAGGAAAATATATTATCATTCTTATGATAAGATATTGTTCAATTTCTACTGTAAAAATTATGTGCATGGTTTTAATTACACTGTCTAATAAATTTTATATAAAACATTTTATTATTTATATTAAAATACAGCTCCTATACTCATTATTTATTCAAGTTCATATCTAAAATATCTTACACTTTTACAGAAAAAATAAATAAAATTCAACTATCCCCATTAATATTCTACTTTTTAAAATTTATAGACCGTAGCAAAACACCTATTTTCTATAAATGTTTCTAAAATATAAAATTAATTTTACATGCAAAAACAAAATATTATTTACGGGAACACAACCGAAATCACAGAGTAAAAATAATGCATAATTCGACGAGCAAAAAACAGTAGAAGATAATTACTCTGAGTTCGGCCACAGTCGTAGAGTTGCTTTAGTATCCATATGAGGTTCGCCTCATTATTCGCATGAATTCCTCGGTATTTACCTCGCCATCACCTGCACATTTTCTCAAACATAAACACAGCACAATGTAGTTCAAAATAGTCGAGGTTTTATTTTTCATCCAAAATATCATATTCAACGTTGCTTTCCATCAAAAGATTTAAAAACCAAAATAATCGACTCTTGTTCTTTTGATAAGTGATGGAACTTTTGCAGCAATTTTTTATTTTGAAACAGTAGTAAAGCACAATTACCTGATAAGTTTGAAGTTAATTTAAATATAGCATACTTACTGTCGCGATCTGCTTCGGCAATCATGTCCTGTATCTCTTTTTCAGTGAAGTTTTCGCCCAATTCCTTCGCTATGCGTTGGATATCAGCAAAAGAAATCTTTCCCTATATTCATATGAAGAAGGATAATAACTCACTGAATGAATCGGAGAACTGAGGCAAATGACAGCACAAACTCACATTTTTATCTTGGTCGATAATGTTAAAAGCTTTCGAGAGCTCTTGCTTGGTGTCCCTCTCTCCGAATTTGGCAGTCATCATGTGACAAAATTCCTCAAAATCGATTGAACCACTGCCATCTTTGTCTACTTCAGCTATCATTCGATTAATTTCCTTTACAAAAAGGAGCAAAATGATCAAACTATGTGACAATTAACAAGAAATTATTTCCGGGAGTATTTCACTAATCTCACACCAAGAAACTCCTAAACTCTTCGGATATTAAAGCTGGCATTCATTGCGAAATAAAAAGTAAAGTTTGGGGCCAAATAACAATCAACTAACTAATTATGAACACTAATCATTATTTCACCATAAACTACACTAAAGACTACTCAACATCTCAGTTACCTCAGATTCTGAGCTAATATAAACAGCAACACAACAAAAAAGTAAAACATTCTGGAAAAGTCACGGCATTCTACACATGGTTTTCCTATCAAAAGCCTAAACATCATTACTTGATCTAGAAGGAGCATAATAAGATCTATCTTGTGAACTATGAACATAAAATGAAGTATTGAATAGTATCCCCTCATTCAGTAAATGCATTAAAGGAAAATGCAGTTCAGAAAGTTAATCAAATTTTCGAGTCTTCATATTGGATAACTACCTCTTCAGACATTTCAAAACCAAGAGCCCTGTAAAAGAAACCAAGTTGGGATTATACTTGGTGTTCGAACAATCAATGGCTTTAAAGCAAATTTTACAAAGGGGGCACCTCATTGCAACATTCAGCTCTTTGGCATCAATGGTACCTGTATGTGGTTTCAAAGACAACATACCCATTAAAAATGAAAATATATAATCGATAGATATCACATTACATATTAATTATTCAATACCAGATCCATCAGTATCAAACAGTTCAAATGCTTCCTTTATTTCCTGTCTTTTGTGGGCAGTCAAACCTTGATGACGCCGTCTAGGTATATCAATCCTGGTCATGCCTCTGTAAAAAGTTGATTGGAATTTGGAAATAAAAGCAACAAGAACAAAATGAGTTTTTAAATGATGCAAAAAGTATCTCATTATCACCAATATGGTATAGAACATCGATTAAACACAATAAAATAGCATACCTATCAGGGTTGATATTATTCATACTTCAGAAAACTAAAATGGCATATCTATATTAATGGTTGTGCTGAATTGCAACACATGATACAATAACAAACAACGCACCACAAAGTAACGACAGACAACATATGATGTGTTTTAACACAATATTAATGAAACATATGACAATTGCCCTCACATATCATATTACCATTGATCTCATCACACTAAATATGTGCATACAGAACTTGATAATTGAAACCATGTGATCTCTGCCTATTTTTTTGTGACTATTTTGTGCTGATTATAGGCAAATTAATATTGTGATTTACATCATTAGATGCCATAATATTTACTTCTCTTTTTTAATAATATGAAAATGGTTTATTAATAAGAATTGAAATTAGAATAGTTCTATGTGACACCCTGGCCCATAAGCCACGCGCATGGAGATTGAAGATTGGCGTCACAGGTCAATACGAGTCCTCGCGCTTTTGACCTCACTCACGCGCACCCTGGAAGCACCCTGGAAGACTTCACAAGGTCACTCATCCTCAAATTACTCTAGATCAATTATATTGTTAATATGAATAGTCTATTCAATTCATTTAACCTCTAATCAACTTCGGATGGCCTAATACTGGCTCATCCACACACGGGAGTTGGCCAAGCAACGACCAAACTCCGTAGCTATCACATCCTCCCCCGCTTTAGAATGCAATATTAACTGTTAGACCCGTCAATAGTCCGGTCTACGACTGCGGGCTATCGCAGATTGGCTCTGATACCCACTGTAACACCCTGGCCCGTAAACCACGCATAGCCGGCCGTGTGGGGATTGAAGATTGGCCTCATAGGTAAACCCGAGTCTTTCAGCACAATCTTGTCCTCACACATTTAACTCTATAGAGTTATTTCAATAGGCTTTCGAAAATGAACATGCACATTTGTGACATATCTATTGAATCCATTTAACCTCTAATATATACCGGCTCATCCAAATTATCCAAACACAAGAGTTGGCCGAGATAAGAACTTGATTTATACATTTCAAATAACAAATATGTATAAAGACAGTCACAAAGGTAACTTCAATCGCACAAAAAAAAGAAGTACGAAAGTATTAAGATTAAAACCAATTCCAACAAAGAAACAACCCGTAAAAGAATGTACACAACCAACAAAAATTATGGTCACATGGAGCATACTTCAACCGATCATATCAAATCTAAAATCAACACAATGAATTACAACTAACGTCAAGCAATTCAAACCCTAAATACCATAGCAGCCGCCAGCCGGCGTTGGAAAATCGATAACGGGAAAATTGTCAAAATACTGTGAAGATTGAACTTACAAAACGAAACTGTAGAAGAAGAAAAAGATAAGATGACGGCAACGGCTTCTCTGTAGCTGTCTTGGACGAAGCGACGGCGGAGAAGAAGAAGAAGAAGAAGGTCGGAAATGAAATTCAGAATTTGGAAATTTCGCAGACAAACAAGGCGATGACGACTAGGAACGCGCAATTTGGGATGGAAAACACAAAATATTAAAATAATAATAATAATAACAAATATGTATGGTATAAATATATTAGTATAAAATTATTGGGTTGGATTTGGGCCGGGCGGGTCACGTTAAGTGTGGGCTGACCCGATTGAATTAACGGTCATACAAGATAGGCCGTTGCGATCCACCTTTAAATGGGCTGAATAAACAAAAGTTTTAGGGTGTATATAAATTTGTATTTTAATTAGAAATTAATACTCCCTCCCTCCCCGTCAAATATGCATTTGAGTTTTCTACTAGATTAATAAATAATAGTATTTTAATATTTAATGAAAATATGTAATAAAATATTTATAATTTAAGTAAAAATTAAGATATTTTGATATTATATATGATTAGTTTTACTGTGTGAAATAAATACATTGGCATGAGAAATACGAAAATGGTAAAAAAAAAAAAAAATAGTTGAGTTGAAATTTTTTTTAAATTTTTTTATCATCCAAACTTATTCTATTTTTCTTTTTAGTAAAAAAAAACAAAATTCACATTTTTTACCTTTTTTTTACCATAAACAAAAAAATAATAATCTATTTTACATATTTTTGTTAAAATTTGTGTAAAATCAAATGAACATAAATTTACACAACGGATGAAGTATTTTTTACAAATATTAAATAAAATATTTTTCAACAGATCATGGAATTACAAACAAAACAAACACTTGAATTTTTATTAGTATAATAATTATTTCATACTATATAAATATATATTGAGTTATCCTTTAAATAAAAAAAGTTAAATTATATATTATACTATCTTTTAAGAAATAGATTTCAAATAAACAAAATTATTTTTGATTTGCATAGTTTCTAATAAAAATATACTTATATATACTTACAAAAATTATATCAAAAAAATTATTTAGACTAAAAAAAATATTTTTATTTTTTGATATATCTTTTATTTAATATACTATATATACTTACAAAAATTATATCAAAAAAATTATTTTGACTAAAAAAATTATTTTTATTTTTTGATATATCTTTTTTTTTTATGTCTTATAATCATTGATATATATATTCTTTTGTTTCGAGTAAAACAATAGATGGACGAAGTAGTATTTAAAAATGGTTGATGGATGTGAATTGAGTTTATTTGGTGTTGGTTTGACACTAAAATTTTAATTAATATTTTAATATTATTATTGTTAAAAATCATACAAATACTAAATAATAATAATATAAAATTAAAATTCAAACCAAACACACTTATTATATTAAAAAAATAACAAAAACTCACACTTAATATATTAAAAAAAAAAAAAACTCTAGCCCAAATCCTTCTGTAGAAGAGCAGTGAAAATTTGATTTTAAATGAAATATTTAAATTTAAATACTCCTTATTATATGAATTTGTAATAAAACGACAGAAATATCCAAATTAATATTCTATAATATAAAATTAATAATATTTGTATAATATATTATAAATTATAAATATATTTTATTATATTACCTAAATGATACAATTGCTAAATAAAAAAACAAGAATAATAGTATTTTTATTCAATGTTCAAAAATAATGTATTTATTATATTAAGTGATAATACAATTGCTAAATTAAAAAATAATAATAATAGTATTTTTATTCAATGCTAAAAAATAATATATTTTTATTTGTATTATAAGTGATTATTATATTGGATTGTAGTAAATAAGACAAAAATAATATATTTTAAATTGAAAGATTATTTATTATGTTAAGTAAGTAGTACAATTACTAAAAAAAAAAAAAAATTAGTAACATTTCAATAAGGGAGAGAATATATAATTAACTTTCAAATATAACAAAAAATATATATAATTATATGGCTGGATGAGGTAGTTAATATTCCCTCAGTCCCTTAACAATTTATTCACTTTTCCTTAACAAAGTATTTTTTTTTTAGGTAATAGTGTTATCTGCCTAACATTACAAATATCATTCTAATTTACAATATATTATATAAATATCATTACCTTTATATAATACAATAGATTAATTTAATTTTTTTATATATTCTAATATAATACTAGGGTGTGTTTGTTTGGAGGTTTGGATTTTGAATTGGGATTTGAATAGTAAAAATTTTGAATTTGAATAATTGTATGATGTGATATACATAGGTGTTGATGTGATGTTTGAATGTAAAATTGATTTTTAGTATAATATAAAAAATGAAAAATAGGTGTTTGATTTGATGTTTTTGGGGGAAAAAAATTGGATGAATAGTAAAAGAAAAATCCAATCCCTCAAACAAACACACCCCTAATATATTTCTAAAACTGCATGCGAAAAATCAGACTGAGGGTAGTATGAAATATAAAGAATAGGCAATAATACCCTTAACTTAAAAAGGTATATCATTTCACACTTGCTGATAACAAACACATATTTAATTTAAAATTTTTTATCCAAAGCTTCCAATAACTCTAAAACTGCAAACAAATGATTTAATAGATAATTGTGACAGAGTTCAATAGTATTTAGTATTTAGAAAATATAAACGAGAACAGTAAATAATTATATATATATATAAGGAATTTTTATGAACAAATAGTATTAAATAAATAAATTAGAAAGTTAATAACTTCAATACAGCTATTGCTTTACCAAAAAGCTAGTAGCAGTCTAACAACAATTCAATTTCACAGAGGAATTCAAAAAATCAAACACAATCACCAAACGGAAATCAAGTCAGGATTCAATTTCTACTTCAAAATAATCATGTACGCATAAATTTGAATGTTCAAAGAAAGCAACATAAATCAAAACGTAAGCGAATTCTGCACTATTACCAATAAATTTCAGATCCTATCTTCAATTTTATCAGCCTTAACCACCGGATTGGTTTTGGCTATGCTCTCCTTTCCACGAGCTTTGAAATCAAACGTACAGTCGTGTTTCTCAGCATACCTGTGAACGCCGCAGAAAGTTCCGCCGCACCGACATTGAAACCCTAGCACGCCGACCTTTTTGTTGCAATTACCGCACCGATTCTTCACCACCGCCTTCTTCTCCTCGCTGACCGCCGCTGGATCCGCCGATTCACCGCCGTCCGCGGCGGCAACCGCCGACGACGAGCCAGTCGATACATCCGAAGAAGCGTCTGATTTTCCAGATTCCGGTCGGACTATTTTCTTAAAAGCTGCTTTCGCCGACGCCGCGGTCTCTTCCTCGATTCGCAAATCTCGGTAGCACTTTGAGCACAGCCCCATCGTCGCCGCCGCGCCGAAGAATCCGCATCCGTTCGCGCATAGAGAAGGCTCCGAAGGCTGCAATCCTGTGCCGTCGCTGATCTGATTTCCGTCGGAAGATGCCATTGCCGATTGGAATTATCAAAATCTTGGGGAAGAAGAAAGCGAGAAATCGCACGCTAAGATGATTGAGATACGGTAACAATCCGCTTTGACTCGGACCTTTTTATAAGCATATTTTTCAATAAAATTACCATTTTGCCCCTATATTTGATCTAAATATAGGGATCGTAATGGAATTTAAAAAATAAGACCGACTTAATTGACACGCTAAGTTTCGTATTAAAGGCAATTAAATTAAGAGGCTTTATTCACACACCATTTGATGAAGGCAAAAGGACGGAATTGCCACTAATAAGTGTTGTTATTACCCGTGTAATAGGAGGGTAGTTTTGGCATATGATTAAAATTTTGGCCAAGTCAGTTGCGAATAGCTTGAATAAAAATTAAAATCTGTTATGGATACATATATAGCTCTATTTACGGAGCACGTTTATTTGATACTATTCATTTTTTAAAAAAATATCACATCAATTATATTTTTTTCACAAAATATCAAATCAAATACTAATTTTTATTTTTTTAAAATTTTTTTCCAAAAATCCCTATCTAAACAAACTCATATTTTTAATTTTTATACGATTTTATATATATATATTTTTAAAAAATATCAAATTAATATTTATTTTATTGACAGTTATATTATACCAAATATCTAGTTTGCTATTATTTCTAAAATTCCACAAAATCTCATTACCTTCAAAATTTTTATATAAACAAACTCATTTTTTATTTTTTTTTATTTTTATGTAATATTTTAAATGATGATAGATATTTAATATAAGATTTTGAAAATAAAATATAAAGAATTATGTATGATAGTCGTGTGTTTGTTTGGAGATTTGACTTTTGGTTTGAAAATTAATATTAAAAATTTTGAATTTAATACCGGTATAATAAAATATAAATAAATATTAATATAATAATTTTTAATATAAAATTAATTTTTAATATAATATGAATACTTATGTTTGATTTGATGTGTTAAAGAGAAATCTCTTTAATAAAAAAATAACAATTTGATAAAATTGTATAAGAGAACACATCTATTACTGATTAATTAAATTATATATATTTCATATTATAGGCAAAATCAAACTCGGCTTTGGTGTATCGACTTTTTTCGATATAATATTTTAAATAAAAACATAAATATTCGAATAAAATTATACGTAATACTCCATGTCTAAGGTATTTTGTTCAACATAATATGTAATTTAGGTAAAATATAATTCATAAATAATTAAGATGTACATTAACAAAAAAAAAAAAAAAAAATTATTGTATAATAAAAATAAATATAAATTAAAATTAAAATAATTCAGTACATAATTTAATTAAAATTTAAAATATATAAAAGTTAAAATTTTAAATATAATTAAAATATATAAGTATATTTTAAAAAATAACTATAAAAAAAATATTAGCAGCAAAAGTACGACAAGCCCACTGTCACCCATTTATTCGAATTTTGTTTTAAAGTCAATCTATTTCATTTTTTTCTTTCGGCCCATTTGAAATGCCCAATTCCTACAAAAACGTATAATCCATCCAACAAATATTTTATAAAATATTGATTATATTTTAATTTATGGATCATGCTCTAATCACATATAATAATAATAATAATAATAATAATAATATATTTTCAATACTATCTTACTAAAAAAATTTATGGAATCACATTATCCAATAAATTCTTGATTTTATTTTTCTGACACTAAGATCATCCGCAATGGAGATGCCCGGTGTTGGGTATCTTCATTATTTTTTATTTTTTATTACCCACGTCACTTTCTCTCTGGCACTTCAGCGGAGATACTCTATTCTATTTTATATTTGCAACAAAGATACTTATCCTAATTTTTTGATAAATTTTAATTTTCATATTATATATATTATTTTTTAATTATAAACTAAATAAATTTATTATTTAATATAATTTTATATTATTTAATTACTTTAAAATTTATAATTATATTTTATTTAATAATTAAATTTATTAATATTGATTTGTTTAATAAAATTATATAATATTTGTATTTATATATTTTAAAATTTAAATTGATAAAATATATTCAATATTGGTATTATCTCGTATAATACAAAATATTATGAATTGTAAAAATATTATAAAATTTAAATATAATAATCAATTCAATATAAAATACAAAAATAAAATATATATATATAATATATATCAATATATATATATATATATATATTGGGACACATGCCATATAATATATAATATATATATAAATTGGGACACAGGCATTTGAACAATTGTTGGGAAGCAAGCATCCATCCATTTTTAATTTTTTTTTTTTTAAATTGTGACGTGGGGCATTGTGGATGGTCTAAGAGTTTGTTCTTTATTTCAGGCTGAAATACATGGCGTGTTTTTCCTACAATTTTTAATAAAAGATGTAGTATTATTTTTTTTTATAAAATATTATTTAAATAAATATTTAAATTAATACTTTAAAAAAAAAATCAATTTCCAACTATAACCAAACACACTTTAAATTAGTCTCAATAATTTAATTAAAATCAAATTTGCAAATGGGCTCTAAGAATGCTCAATTTGCACTTGATTAGGATGACAATTGGGCCAATCCGTTATAGCCCCAATTGAAAACATATTATTAACTTTATAATTAATATTTTCCAATTTAAAGTATTTATGATATATTAGTAATATTAAGGTCATTAATATCGAATTAGAAATATAACGCAAGAGATAATAAAAACCCTTTTTGTTTTAAACAGTGTATATTAAGATCGATAAAAATTTTTTAAAATATATATATATATATATATTTTTTCTACTACTCAGATAATTTTAAGTTTGAATCGAATAGGCAAATCGATCGTTCACTCCCATTACATATAAGTCAACAAATTGTTGATGAGATCAACCTAGAGAGTTGCCATTGTGCGATACACTCGATCATCTCAAGACTCCGAAAAGAAAAGCACCAAATATCTCATTCTCTTACATACATACATATATACATGTTTGTATGTATAATATGTAAGAATTCCATAAGTCTCATGCAAGAATTGAGTAGTTTTTGGCTACCTAGCTATTAGTTGTAGTAGTAAAACAAGGCATAAGTAGAGGAATATTATTGAGTGGCTCTCCCACTCTTCAAATCCGCCATTATTATCTTACCATTTGCACATATACTCGACATACAATTACACGCCCATATTGTAATACACTGTATTTTCGACACAGTTTGTCCTTATCTGTATATATATATATATATATAAATCAAAAAGTTATATATTTGAAAATTATCTCAATGCAAATACTCTTTTTTTTTTTTTTTTTACGTTATTGGTAAACTCGGTAAAAGATGAAAACAAATATCGTCAATTCTAAATTATAAGGTATTATATATATATATACTTAGACATAAAATTACACACACCTTTTAGTATATATTTTTATGTTTGTAAAATAATTATGTTTGAAAATTAACTTGACACAAATACTTTTATCTCTAAAATTATTACATGTAATTAAAACTCGTAAATTATAAAAATAAAAACTTGCACTCCTAAATTATGAGATGTTATATATATATATTTTACTCAACATACAATTCTACGCCCGCATTGTTATACACTATTTTTCAGCATGATTTGTCCTCACTCGTACATATTTTTAAAAACATTTCAAAAATTTATATGTTTGAAAATGTATATTTATTAATACAAATCCACTTATCTTTGAAGTTGTTATGGGTAATTAAACTCATAAACAATGAAAGCTTATATTGTCAATAATCTTAAATTGTAAAGCATTATATATATATATGTAGATGAATGTAAGAATTAATTTGTGTGCATTTCTTAGGGTTGTTGATTGGCCATCAATATAGAGATGACCAGTCAGGCTTTTGCAATGGTCCACAAAACCCTAATGCTAAATTATTAATTACATATTGAATTTGAATATACATACATATATTGAAAAAAAATAAAAATATATATTATTATTATTTTTTATTTTTTATTTTAATTTGAAGAAAGAAAAGGTAAGAGCCCCCACATGAATAAGATTGTAGCAATATTCATTCAATGTTGTCATTAATTTTATTTGGGGATGAATACAAAATGAGGTACTCAATTGCTACGAGATTAATAATGCATGCAGGCAGGGGCCTATATTCAAATATAAATGATATATCTTATTTTTGTGTTTTTATATTTTTTTATTTTATTTTACTTTTTTTTTTTGATGGTTTTCGGCGTGAAATAGTAGAAATATTTTATATAAAAAAGTACTATGTTTTTATTGAAATCAAACAATTTACATTAAAAATTTTGAAAAAAAAAAAAAAAGGAAGAAAAAACATACTAAGCCTAGTTTCTATTTACTTATGTAAATATGTTGAACTCAATAGTTTTTTTTTTGAAAAAAATATTATATTAAATATTTATTTAATTATAGGGAAAAAAATCATTTTTTGTCCCAATATAATTAAAATTCATCAATTTTGGTCTCAATATAACTAAAATTCATTATTTTTTATTCCAATATAACAAAAACTCATCGTTTTTTGTTCCAATATAAAATATTTATCAATTTTAGTCTCAATATAACCAAAACTCATCCTTTTTTGTTCTAATATAATCAAACTTTATTTTTTTTTGTCCCACCGTCAACAAACCGACGCAAAATGCTGATGTGAAAAGAAATTAAACCTTATATTTATATTTGAAGAAATTGAACAATCTTGCAAGTCCACGTCAGCATTTTCCGTCGGTTTGTTGACGGTGGGACAAAAAATAATAAAGTTTGATTATATTGAGACAAAAAATGATAAGTTTTGGTTATATTGGAACCAAAATTGATAAGATTTTTATATTATGACAAAAAAAAATATGAGTTTTGGTTATATTTAGACAAAAAATGATGAGTTTCGCTTATATTTGGACCAAAATTGATAAAATTTTTATATTATGACAAAAATTGATGAATTTTGATTATATTGAGACCAAAAATGATTTTTTCCCTTTAATTAAATAATATTATATTAAAAATATTGTTTTATTCAAAATATTCATTTATATACAC